TATTATAAAATTTGATTATATTTGTAAAAATCAATTGTTAATTCAGGAGAAAAAACAATCATTTTTTTTAGAAATGATTTATATAGCAACACGTTAGAAAAAAATTTGAATATTATAGTCTAATAGTAGCACACGCAAATACAGTAAAAAATTTATTAAATTACAAAGTTAAATGATTTAATTTTGTAATTGAAACCTATTATATCAAACTTCATTCGTTAATAAATATTTTGAAAACATTAGAAATTAATGATTTTAATTGTCTTTATGGAGAACATGTAATAACTAACTGTTTAATTGATANAATTGTCTTTGTGGAGAACATATAATAACTAACTGTTTAATTGATAAATTAGAATTTTTTTTCAATTTTTGAGGGTAATATCTTCAACTAGATACGAATTGTAAGTNTAATATCTTCAACTAGATACGAATTGTAGTAATTTGACATATCGTTAAAAAAAGTAGGTGGAGTTAGAGCAGAGAAAATAAATGATAGTCACAAATAATATCTTCTCAGCTTTGCATCGAAGCTAAAACTTAAAATATAGTAAAATAATTTTAATACGAATAATAAATTTCTTCTTGCAAGGGTCGACTAAAGTGATGGGATCCTTGATCTTTATTGAAGTTATTGAAACTAAATGAGATAAAAATCAAACGAGTTAAAAATTTATACTAACTTAAAAAGAATTAAGAAAAAATGCAAAAAATTCATTGCCATACGCGGGTTGGAACCTCGTACCCCAAGCGTGTAAAACATAAGTCTTACTAACTCGGCAACCGTACGTTGCTTTAGTAGGTTGAAAATTTGGCTATTTAAGCTAGTTCAAATTTCAAAGTTATTTTTCTCTACTTAAAAGAAGCAAACAAATTTAAATAAGTTTAACTTTCTATGCTATATTAATTTTTTATTTATATAATATTTATGANACAATGTGAGCGTAGAAGATATGGGAGCTCGTGTCAAATGCAAGTTTGGGATATAGGTGGCCGACCCCAAGTAGTTGGGATTAAGGCAAAGAAAAAGAAAAATATTACCAGAAATTCCGGTGACAATTGACATAATATGATTGTTGTTTTGGAATGTACAATTTAGCGTTTAGTTGGGTTATACAATATAGCGTCAAATCAATTACCTACTCTATCGCTTGTATATTAATATACACTACACTTTAATGATACAATAAATAAATAAACTCACACATACACACATATGCATTTATAACATTGTGTCTAANAAAATATCGTAGTAACAATACGCATGTTTAAAGTTTTGACCCCCCTTGTTAAAGGGGTATGATCCGATTTACAAAAAAAGCGTGCCAGATGAAAGAAGTATATAAATGTTTATTATAAAAAAATAATAATATTGATCCATACATTTTTCCAATAGTTATATAAAATATAATTTAAATAATATAACATATAAAATCGAGAATTTTTTCACGGAAACCGAATGTTTTTCTTTAAATTTGATGTCCGTTTTCACCACGAAGACAAGTCTAGAGGTCAAATTTTTTTTTTTCAAATTAAAGTATATTACATTAGCTTTAATTTAAGATATATATAAAAGTGTCAGTCTTTCCGGAACATTTTCAAAAGTTAAGTTGAAAAAGTTCTACTTTCTATACGCATTTTAAAAGGTTTGCACCCCCCCTGTATAAAGGGAAATGGTCCGATTTTAAAAAAAAGTATGTCGAATGAAAGNTACAGTAAAAAATTTATAAATTTACAAAGTTAAATGATTTAATTTTGTAATTGAAACCTATTATATCAAACTTCATTCGTTAATAAATATTTTGAAAACATTAGAAATTAATGATTTTAATTGTCTTTATGGAGACGATGTAATAACTAACTGTTTAATTGATAAATTAGAATTTTTTTTTCAATTTTTGAGAGTAATATCTTCAACTAGATACGAATTGTAGTAATTTGACGTATTGTTGAAAAAAGTAGGTCAAGTNAAGATACGAATTGTAGTCATTTGACATATCGTTAAAAAAAGTAGGTGGAGTTAGAGCAGAGAAAATAAATGATAGTCACAAAAAAATATCTTCTCAGCTTTGCATCGAAGCTAAAACTTAAAATATAGTAAAATAATTTTAATACGAATAAGAAATTTCTTCTTGCAAGGGGCGACTAAAGTGATGGGATCCTTGATCTTTATTGAAGTNAAAGTGATGGGATCCTTGAGCTTTATTGAAGTTATTGAAACTAAATGAGATAAAAATCAAACGAGTTAAAAATTTATACTAACCTAAAAAGAATTAAGAAAAAATGCAAAAAATTCATTGCCATACGCGGGTTGGAACCTCGTACCCCAAGCGTGTAAAACATAAATTTTACCAACTCGGCAACCGTACGTTGTTTTAGTTGGTTGAAAATTTGGCTATTTAAGCTAGTTCAAATTTCAACGTTATTTTTCTCTACTTAAAAGAAGCAAACAAATTTAAATAAGTTTAACTTTCTGTGCTATATTAATTTTTTATTTATATAATATTTATAAAAATCTGTACTCCCCTTGTCAGGTTTTTTTAAATAAAATACAAAACCCAGAATTTTAACACAAAAATAGCATGTTTTTGAATACGGTAGTCATTTTTACCACAAAGACAAAACCAGAGGTCAAACCGTTTACGGGGAACGATTGAATTTTTTTCAATTTTTTAGAGTAATGTCTTCGACTAGATACGATTTGTGATCTTTTGACATATTGTTCATCAAAATCGGTCCAGCGAGAGCTGAGATTGAGCGTTCACAGACACAAAAAAATAAAATAAAAAACATATCATAATAAAATTAATACCTTCTCAGCTTCGCATCGAAGCTAAAAAAATTATTTTTAACACTTGTATTTTTTAAGATATTAAGTGAGACATAGTTAGCCACTCTGTATATATATGTATATGTATATATATATTATATAATAAGGAATTTGAAATAAAAATACATTTATTGTTCAATAAAATACAGTTTTATAAACCGTTTAAAAACAAGTTAAATTTAGGCGATGTAAAAACAAGTTGTAACTTAGTTATTTTTTTGAATGTTGAATTTATTTTGTTTCATAGCAAATTTATTATTTACAGAATGATTGATTATTCATTGACATCGAGTTTCTCTTAAAATAATAAAATTGATAAAAAAAATTTTGGTTATGTTGTGTTGTATTTATTCATTGATTGTATGAATATTTTTTGGATCTATTTATTATCCCTTATAAGGGTTTTAACTTATGTTTAATTTTCTGAAAGTAATGAATTTATCTCGTTAAATTATTTTTTCGAGACACGAAAAATTAAAATAACGATTTTTAAAAAAAAAGTTTACCATCACTTAACATTTTTAGAGTCTCGATGAATTCATTCTTTTTAGAACTATCAAAACTCACTGAGTTTCTTAAAATAATAAATAGTGCAACATTATTATATACAAATTTATTTGATACAATTAAAAAAGATATCTTTAACATTTTTATCACAGAAAATATCGTTTAGCAGAATGTTGAAAAGTCTATCTTTTAAAGGAGAGAGTTCTAGAAGTGCCCCCGATACAACATCTACAACAGAAGAAAATTGGCCAATCTTCCGTAGTAATGAGGATTGAAGTATACTATCGTAAAATGTACAATTGTGTGGCAACTGAACATCTTATAAAAAATTAATGATTATTACTTGTGTACAAACAAATATTTACTTTATCTATCTAAAATATACACTATTTATAATAAATGTATATATGTTTCAACTTAATCATTGTAAACTATGGATCTTATTTTAAAATAATAATTTTGTATGCTTAATTAAATATAATAAACATATATTCACTAAAAGCACTGATAACAATATCCGAAGATGGGGAGTAGTTAAAGATAAAATAAAAAATCTACGTTCTGCTCGCACATAGATTGAGTTCTGTATTCCATCCAGAATGGAATTCTTCTCTTGTGGAATTCCCATTTTCAAGTTTCATTAGACACATCTAATCCAACCCCCGTGTTGTCGTCGGCCCTATAATGATGCATTATTTATGAAATTATTTGCGTAGAAAAATTATTTATAATTTATAAAAATGTTGAATTGTTGAATTCACACTTAACATCATTTTTGAAGCTTACAATAATATCCCTTCATTTTTTTCCCTGACACATTCATTTCCATAACTATTCTTACAAATCCCGATTCTTCTCTTCTCATAACATGATCGATGTCTATTTCCTCACATCTTAAACACGACTGACACTACATCAATACTCCTCCTTTGTTCCTTATTCTAACTTCTCTAGTCACTCCACTCATCCATCTAAGCATGCTCATCTCTACTTGACCCATTTACTGCACTATTCTATTCTCAACAGTCTGTACCACACATCATAGTTTGTCTCACTACAATCTTATAGAACTAACCTTTTTGCCTCATTGGATTTCTCTTATCGCATAACACACTAGACGCTTCTCACTTCTTCACCCACCAATACTTAACCTGTCCAATACTCAATTACACAACTGAACCTGAGAGTACCAGAGGCTGGAAAAAATATTGCGCTTACCTGGTGATTAATAAGTAAGAATTTCATTTAAGTTTAATACTAAAAGAAGACTGGAGGGGGGTCATTGGCATTTAAAATACATTTAACGAAAAATGTGAGTGTAGCGTCGCTCTTAATAGGAAATTAAACATCGTAATAATTCGCATAAAATTGTGTTGAAATATATGACCGTTGATTGTTTTTTTTAATTGCTTAAAGAATTGTGTTTAATCATTTAAATCAACGCTAGTCGTTGAATAATTGATAACTTTTAATAGAGGTAAGCAGTAATTATTTTATATTAATTTATAGAAAAATATTATAAATTTTCTGTTCAGAACTATCTATGAAAACAACAGAAAATATTATATATAACTTTAACATATTTTGATAAAAGTCAAAATAAAAATTTCCTACTTTTCTAGTTCGACTTTTAAACAGTATAATGCTGTCGGTGACATTACATGGTTTATATTTAAGTACATAATATTGTTGTAAAATTAATACTAAAAGATCGTAGTATTTAGAATATAACATTAAACTAATATGTTAACAGATTACAATAAATTCTTAGAACAAAAAAATTGTGAATTTATAAATAAATTATCATTTAATGTAAACTATAATCATAATTTTATTTACTAAATTGCCATAAATTATCTAAAAACAAATTTCATTAAATTAAACAATACTTTACTTTTAATAATATAAAAATTTAATAGTCCAATAAAAGCTATACTTAAAGTAGGAAGATGTAAAAATACTGTATTTTATTTTTCAGTGATATAATATATGTATAATTTACATATAAAACTTATTTAAAAAAAAAATTTTTGACTTTTTCTATTTACATAATAACTATGACTTATATAAAATTATGCTCAAAGATTCAAATTTTATTTTCATATTAGATAATAGTTCAACATAAAGCTTAACAATAAAATTTTTAAAAAATACAATATTATGAATTCATATCAATATTCTATTAAGTGAAGTTATTTTTGTAAAATGAGAATTTTTACAAAAGTCAATCAATTGGACGGTTAAAAAAAGTACTGGAGTACGTGTAATATTAAAATATTAATTTTTTATGATAACAAAAAACAAACATTTTTTATTTAATAGTTAATGGGACTTTTCAAGTTCAAATCACAATAAAAAAATAATTATACTATCCATAAAAACAACAGAAAATTTTATATTAACGTTAGCATAATGTTAAAGTATAAATACAACCTTTTAAAAATTCAATTTATAGAATAATGATAAAAGTATAAAAAAATATTCCGTAATTTATTATTTCGATTTTTTAACAACAATATATTGTCAATAACCTTAAATGGTTTATATTTGAGTGCATTATATTGTTGTAAAATGACTACCAAATGGTGTTAGTATTTAGAATATAATATTAAAGTTATATGTTAACAGATTACAATAAATTCTTAGAACAAAAAAATTGTAAATAAATAATTTTCTGCTATTATTTTATGTATTACCGTAATATTTTAGAATTATATAAGAGTTATCAAAAAATATTGCCAAAGTAATGTTATCAAGAATTAAAAATTATAATAATAACGAAAATTTTAAATTATTATGTGATTAAAATATTAAGTATAAAGCAAAATTATTGACGATTTTGTTTAAATATAAAGATGGTTATGCTTAATATTTTTGAACTAATTTTATTTTATATGGTTTGCTTAAATACTTAGTTATTATAAAAAAATTGTGTCTATTTCAGTGTTTGTCGAGTAATTATAGATGACTATAAATACTTATTTTATATAAACTATTAATTTAATCTTGAAAAAAATTGTATAAAAACACAAGTTCTAACAAAAGAAATATAGTTATTATAGACTTATATTTTTTTTAACAAATCAAGTATTTTGTTAGTTATAACTATAATTTTCTATAAGTATAAGATAAATTAATTGGTTAACATAAAATTCAAAATGAATTGAAATTACATAATTAAAATGAGGAAAAATTTGCAGGATAAAAATTATTAGGTATAAACTTAATGCTGTTTTTTATGATATGAATTATATTATGCGGTGAGTGATTAATTTATTGTTGATCCCAAGTATTATACTAAAATAATAATAAAGAATATATTTTTAAATTTATATAGTAAGTACTATTTATTTCTCAAATTATAAGTGGTTAAATATATTTTTGGTCTATCCTTTATCTCTTATATGGATATTCATTTATTAGCTTCGTTTCGAAGCCGAGAAGGTATTACTTTACTATGTGTGTTTATTTATTTTTGTGTCTGTTAGCACTTTTTCTAAGTTCTTACCGGACCCATTTCTTTCAACCATACGTCAAAACATCACAAATCGTATCTAGTTGAAGACATAACCCTTAAAAACTTGAAAAAATTCTCTCGTTCCCCATAAATGGGCGAAATTTCCAAAACAACACAAATTAAAAAAATCTCCAATTTTTGACATTTTTTCAATTTTTTTACTTAAAACCGTCTAAAAATGACCAAATCAATAAAAATTTTTTTATATATGTATGTCTTTACATATCATTTGATATTTTTTTTATAAATAGGATTCTTTACCTGCCCACAGGATGTGGATTTAAAATGAAAACTTTTTCACAAAAAATTAACTATTTTTACTTAACTTTTAAAAGTGTTCCGGAAATACTGACACTTTTATATAATTCTTAAATTAAAGCTTATAATATACTGTATTATGAAAAAAAAAATTCAGACTTAATTTGTTTTTCATGGTGAAAACAGACATCAAAATTAATAAAAAAAAACCCAGCACAGGGGGGTTGGGGCACAGTGGTGCCGTGGTATAGTTGGATCAAGTATAATGATATCTGACAGTGATTAAAATCACTATCAAAAATAAACGCTTCGATGCAAATCTTTAGATAGTGTTTAATTTTAAAAAAATTGGTGTTTTATTCCAAAAGCTTCTTGATCTGATGGTTCCTTATTAATATCTCGATTAAGACAAAGTATGTCGAATGAAAAAGGGTTTATTAAAAAATATTATTTCTCATAAAAAAAATTGTGTGGATCCATACAACTTATTTTCAATAAGTTATAGCATTATAAAGTTAAATATAATATTAAAAATAAAATCGAGAATTTTCACACAAAAATAGCATTCGATAGCCATTTTCACCGTGAAGATAAGATAAAGTCCGAAATTTTTTTTTTTCATAATAAAGCATATTACATTATCTTTAATTTAAGATATATATAAAAGTGTCAGACTTTCCGGAACATTTTCAAAATTTAAGTTAAAAAAATTAATTTTTTGTGAAAAAGTTGTCATTTTAAATCCCCCCTTGTGGGCAGGTTAAGGGTTAAATTTATGAAAAAAATATACTAAATGATAAGTAAAGACATAAAGCATCTATATAAAAAAAAATTATATTGATACGTTCATTTTTGAAAAAGTTATGGCACTTTTAAGTAAAAAAAATTGAAAAAATTTTGAAAATTAGCGATTTTTAAATTTGTAATTTTTTTGGAGGTTTCCCCCATTTACGGGGAACAAGGGAATTTTTTTCAATTTTTAAGGGTAATGTCTTCGACTAGATACGATTTGTGATCTTTTGACGTATCGTTGAAAGAAATCGGTTCGGTGAGATCTGAGAAAAAGTGGTAACAGACACAAAAAAAAACACATCTTAGTAAAACCAATACATTCTCAGCTTCGCATCGAAGCTAAAATATGATTTTTGTAAAAAAAAATTTTTTTATAATTTTAACTTTATGACGCTATAACTTTTTGAAAAATGTATGGATCATTATAATTTTTTTTAAGATAAGTACTAATTATATTCTTCTTTTATGCATTATACTACTTTTTTAAATTAGTTAATTACCCTTTACAGGGGGGTTTAAAACTTAAAAATGCATATAGAAAAAAAAAATTTCACTCCCATATAAATTTAAAAATTTAGTTGACCGAACTAAGCAACGTCACAACTGTGCCACAACCCACCTTTTTTTTTTTAAATGGCAACATACATATTTTACTAATTTAAATATTAGAAAATGATAATTAAAAAAATGACCGGTCGATATCAATATTTAAAACAGTATTTCGAATGTTAATAACATTTTTAAATTATGTTATTTGGTGAGTTGTGGCTATAATAGTTTAATATTTATGCATTACATTACATAAAAATGATCATAACTCCTTAAATTCAGATTCAAAAGTTATCGACCAGAAACATATTTAGTTGTAATTTTAAAAATTAAATTTGACATTCTTATGACCTATTATATTAGATAAACATAAAAAATATATAACCACTTATAATTCAAGAAATAAACAATTTTAACAAGCCAAAAATAAAGATCAATAATTATTTTAGAAGATCATCGTAGAGTATTCTTGTACAACAAATAAACTTGTGAAATTTTAAAATTTTAATTTATATGGAAAAAAACGAAAGCACAGAGGAGTCGTGGCACTGTATAATTTGTAGATAGTGTTTAATTTTAAGAAATTGGTGGATTATTCCAAAAACAAAATTCATTAATTATTTCTGATTAGTAGTTTTTTGATTTAAAAGTAAAATATCTGAATAAATATTTATTGTAGCAAATAAATTAGTATGATATTAATATTTAATTATTTACTATTGTAATTTTTTCGGAGAATTAATAAAAAATTATAAAATAGTCATTACTTCTTGGCAATTTAATAATTGATAATAATTTGTTGTTAATTATAAATAAATGGAGCGAAAAAAATTTTCATCAGAGTCACGTCATACTTTTCGTGATAAATTTTTCGTGTTGAGATCAATAGTGCAAAATATCATAATAAGAAAAATTTTGAATTTGTTACCATAAATTTTAGCTCAACTTTAAGTTTTAAATTTACAATATTAAATAGAAATATTTATGAGAATTAAAAAAATATTATTGTTAAGATTGTACAATTACTATTTACTGTAAATTTATCAAAAAATCTCAATATCTTTTTTGCATTTTTATCGTTATAGATTACTTAAATAGAATTCATAAAAATAATTTCTAAGTAACATTTGGTATTTAAAAAGATTCTACAATTAAAATATTCAGAACTTAATTAATTTTAATGATTTACTTTAACTAAATAAACTAACAAAAATGTACTCAATTGAGTGTATTAGTTGTGATAATTTGATGTATTGTAATAAAAGTTGGTCAAGTGAGAGCTGCAAAAAATAATGAGAGCCATAAAAAAAAATCACATAGTAAAAAAACTTTAATATGATTAAAAAATTTTTTTTATACGAGGGTGGACTACAGTGATGAGGTCCTTGATATTTATTAAAGTTATTGAATCAAAAATTTTAACACAAAAATAGCATGCAGTATTTCTCCATTAAGACAAAAGAAAGTTTGAATTTTTTTCTAATAATAAAGTATATTACAGTTATGTTTTCGATTATATACTATTTGTGATCTATTGACATATCGTTGAAAGAAATTGGTTCAGTGAGAACTTAGAAAAAGTGGTAACAGACATAAAAATAAATAAACACACATAGTAAAGTAATACCTTCTCAGCTTCGAAACGAAGCTAAAATACGTAACAAGCATAATGTAGTATGTGCAGTATTCAATATAAATAATTACTTAAAAACCAATAGTTACATAGTCATGTTTAGTAAGTTTTTTATTTAAACAATTAAAGTACAATAAAACTTTTTTAACGAGATTTTGATTTTTCCTCATAAATTACAGTGAATATTAATTAAAAAAGTTTCTGTTCACATTTCAATCTATAAAGTAGGACATATTATACCACATAAAATTTTTTATTTAATGATATAAATTTTAAACTTGTAAGTTGAGCTAAAATTGTGATTTAAAGTTCAACATTTTGAAATTATAAAATTTGATAAAAACGATAAAAAAAATTAGTTAAATATGTCATTTTTAATTGAAATTTTGCACAGATTATTTTTAACATATTACAAAGTAATAATAAATTGATAAAAAATTTTTTAATTAATTTTTTATGTATTTCTAATTAGTAATACCCCCAAAAAAGGGGTGATTGAAAAAATCTAATTTATGACTTGAAATCAGAGTAAAAATTTGGTTAAGTAAAGTATTTTCAATGTCCTTATATATTGCGTACATAAATCACTTGATTTAAGTGGACCTATTGTTAGTTTTATTGAATTTTAGATAACCAAAAATTTTTAATTTTAGGTTATTATCATTAAAAAAAATGAAATTTATCATATTACAATTAGTCGGAACATTTTTAGTAAGTATTATTTATCTAAAAACTTGTTGCTAAATTGAGAATCCACTTTTGATTAAATTATTTTTATATTAATTTACTATTAAATATGATTCCTGTTTTGGTATTTTATTAGCTATGCATTCATTTTTTTGGAAATGATGAAAATCATATATTAACAAGAAAACTGTTATACATCCTAAAACACAGTTTTTCAGAGTTATAAATACTTCTTAAAGCATAGTTATAAGAACACTATACAGTTGTGCTATTTAAGCACACATTTTTATAAAAATAAAAAAATGTTTTACTGTACTACATTACAATTAAAAATAAACATAACATTATAATGACCTAACAGTAATTAATAGAAGTATGTTTTATATAAAAACTTAATGGATTTATAATTTTTAAAAACAGTATAACTCGTCTACCCTATTCCACTTTGTAATCAATAAAATAAGAACAATATAAGAATTTGTTTGACCCACTACTTATACTTTATAATGGTGTCAACTTTAATTTTACAATTTTTGTTTTAAAATTTCATTTTGAATTTTTTTGTAATCATTTAGCTTTTATTTTCCTTGGAATTGCCGTTTTAACAGTATAATAATTAGAAGTATTTTTATAAATATCTAAAATTGACAGAGTATTCCAATTTTTGGCAATGATTTTATAATGTTTTATTAGATTAAAGTCTGGTTCTTTAATTTATTGATCTTTAATATCGGTCATTTATGAATAAAGGATTTTTGTAGACAGACATAAAAAAAATGCACAACATCTCAAAGCCAATATCACTTTAGCTTCGTACCAAAGCTAAAATCTCTGATTCAACTATTGAAATTTTATCTCGGAAGTTATTATCGATTTGAAATTCTGTTTGTAGGTATGCTTTGTAATAAAAACTTATAGTGCGAGTATTTAAAGAAAGAAATTAAAGAAACCAAAAAAATGCTCTTCTTTGTAAAAATCGGAGATTTATTATAAAGTTATTAATAATTAATGTATAAAAAGTGCTGTATAAAAAACAGTATAATAGTTAATTAAAAGATCTTAAATAAAAGTTTCCAACTTTTCAAACATTTCCCTCGTTATGATATTATAATATATGTGTGAATACTTGTTGGTTGGTGTGGTATGAGTTATGACTATTTTTAAGTTTTATACTTAGGTGATAAGAGCATGATAAATGTCTAATAATATATGTATTGAAAGTTATTTAAAATTGAATTTATAAATTATTATATAAAGAAATTAGTAAATTAAAATATCTTAAATAAAATTGTCCAACTTTTCAAACATTTCCCTCGTTATGATTTTTCTGAATTTTCATACCGTTAGTATTTTCAAAAAAATAATATGAGATTACTAAGTTTTATTAATGTACTATATTATTATTTCACTTAGGTTTTGAGGACAGTTGCAGATGAAAAAGAAATATCGATAGTTGATATAAAAGAGGAAGAAATTAAGTTTATGAAATTTTTAGATAGTATAGGAATTAACGATAGTGAATTGACAATCGCATTAGGTAGGCCAAATTTATTAAACTACTAATATATTAATTATTTCACGTCTTATGACAATATATTTTATAGTAAAAATGACTTAAATTTTTCATATTTAAGGGAATAATTATAATACTTTAATCGAAAATGAGCTCCTTACACTTGGATCACAACTTTTGAAAGGAGATAAAAAAATGGATGATGTAGCTACTGAAATGACAAAATTTATTCTAAATAATTTGTCTAAATTGTATAAAGTAGGCGAGCGTTTTAATAACGATGTAAAAAAACATTCAACGATATTTTTTACAAATGTTAGTTCAAAATTTAAATCAAAATCAGAATCAAAAGTAAGTTATGCTGTTTGTTTTATTGGTTAATAATCCTTTCGTTTATTTAGGATATTTTATTATATTAAAGTTACTACTTTGTAATAAAAACTAGTAGTGCAAGTATTTAGAGACAGCAATCTGGGAAACCACAACATATGATCTTCTTTGTAGTAATCCGAACTTTATTATGGAATTATTAATGATGAACATATGAAATATGTCGTGTACAAAAAACAATATCCCTATTTTATCAATAAGATATGTTTTGTACATTTCAAAAATGTCAATTTAAATAACACACCTCCGATATTTGATACTATTTTTGCTCTCCTAAAAAAATGCACACCATCATAAAGTCAATATCTCTTTAGCTTCGTACTAAAGCTAATATCTCTGATTCAACTTTTTAAACTTTATCTCGAAAGTTATTATCGTTTTGAAATAGTTTGTTGGTGTGGTATGAGTTATGACTATTTTTAATTTTTTCTTAGGTGATAAGAGCCTGATAAATGTTTAATAATATATGTATTGAATGTTATTTAAAATTGAATTTATAAATTATTATATAAAGAAAATAGTAAATTAAAAGATCTTAAATAAAATTGTCCAACTGTTCAAACATTTCCCTCGTTATGATATTTTCTGAATTTTCATGCTGTTAGTATTCTCAAAAAAATAATATAAGATTACTAAGTTTTATTGATGTACTATATTATTATTTCACGTAGATTTTGAGGACAGTTGCAGATAAAGAAGAAATATCGAAAGAAGGTATACAAGAGGATAAAACTACGTTTATGAATTCTTTAATCAATGATATAGGAATTACCGATAATGAATTGAGATCTGTATTAGGTAGGTCAAATTTATTAAACTACAAATATACTATTTATTTCCCGTCTTTTTATAGTAAAAATTACTTAAATTTTAAATATTTAAGGCAATAATTATAATACTTTAATCGAAAATGAGCTCCTCACACTTGGATCACAACTTTTGAAAGGAGATAAAAAAATGGATGATGTAGTTACTGAAATGACAAATTTTATTCTCAAAGATTTGGCTGTATTGTATGTCTGGTATAATGTAGACCAGCCTCTTTATAAGAATGTAAAAGAATGTTCAACGACATTTTTTACAAGTATTAGAACGAAATTTAAATCAAAACCAAAAGTGAGTACTACTATTTGTTTCATTGATTAATTATCTTTTCGATTATTTATGATATTTTATTATATTAAAGTAACTACTTTGTAATTTAAGCTAGTAGATCAAGTATTTAGAGATAGTAATCTGAGAAGAATTACAACAAATTATCCTCTACATAGAAATCTGAACTTTATTATCTCAGTTATGTCTACTTAAATGAATTTTTACAACTCAATTATTATTAATAATCGCTGAGCAAAATATTTTATGAACAATTATGTTGTTTGCATTCTAAACTGATAAGCCACAAAAATGCAATTATGGAATTATTAGTGATATTTATAAAAACTTCTTGTACAAAAAATGATATTCCTATTTTATTAACAAGATATGTTTTTTACATTTCAAAAATATCGATTTGAATAATACGGCTTTGATATTTTGGATACTGTTTTTGCTCTCATGAAAAAATGCTAAAATTAAAATTACAACTTTTGGAAAAAATTTTTCACTAATTTTTTTTAAATAACAGTTATACGTTTTAGATTTTAGTTTATAGTTGTTATCGAAGTGTACATAATGCTCATTATGTCCTGTTGGTTCATTGTGAGCACCTCACACCGTATTGTCTTAATTCGGTTTACCCAACTAAATGTTTTCACCGAAATGTTAATACAATATACCAAGCATAAAGTCACCTCTATAGATGACCAATGAGTCCTGTCTTTCTGGCCAAATTAAGTATCTCTCTGGGTTTTAGGATTTTAATATCTTCTTTTTCAGGAAAAAGTTTACTCAAGTAGTTTGATCTTAATGTGGACAAGGCTTCAAATTCGCACATGATGTGAAATGATTCTTCCTCTTCTACTACACACTTCCTGCATAATGGTGATTCCGATACCCCCATTGCGTTAAGATGTTTAAGCAGGTGACCATGTCCTGTCAGTAGACCAGTCAGGGTGCTTATTTGATGTCTAGTCATGCTATTAAGATCACCCAACAGTAGACCAGGGGTCTTGATAAACATTTTAGATTGTCTAAGTACTACCAAGTACTTCCAGATTTTCCTGTGTTGTTCTCTGCACCAATTCTTGGGTAGCACTTTGAGCGATTGCTCAGTGAGTCCTACCACTGGTTCTGGTCCAACATAGGTGTTCTCTGCTCTTTTCCTGGCTAGAAAGTCAGCATTTTCATTTTCAGTGACACCGTTGCGTCTTGGTACCTACGCTAGTGTAACTTTGTTGAACCTCTATAGTGTTTCTAAAGTTTCCCTGCATTCGAACACAAGCTTTGAATTCACCTGATCATTACAGAGTGCTTTCAGAGCTGCTTGACTGTCACTTAAGATAGTTATCTTTCTATTTTTTTTATTTTAGTTCACTATCTAAAATAATAACTAAGTAATTTACTTCCGATTTGTCCATTTATAGTAAGAAGGTCAAGACTGTCTAGCTCTGTTCTCCTTCTAGTGAACATAATGACCTCTACTTTATTTGGATTAACAGATAGATCATACTTACTGCATTATATATGTATAGTGTTTAGTCTTTGTTGTGCTAAGTCTATAATAGTGTCTGGGAATTTACCCACCAATGCTATAACTAAGTCATCCGCATAGACTTGTGTATAATAGTTTTTATTTAACTCTTTAATTAGTGAGTCCAATACTAGACACCATAGAAAGGGAGATAAAACCCCTCCTCGTGAGCATCCCTGTTTAACATTCTTGATTACTTTGGTTTCATTGAACTGTCCCATAATGGAGAATTCCTTTAGTATGGTTTCTATCCACTTAGTAATAAGTGGTTCTATTCCATGCTGTAGTGCAGATTCACACATAGCATCGAAGGGAGTATTGTCGAATGTCCCTTCGATGTCCAGGAATATACCTACTACATACATTTTATTCTCGACAGCTTTCCCTATCTTAGTTGCTAGGTATTGTAGAGCTGCATCAGTAGATTTCCCGTTTGGTACGGATGTTGGTTTTCATGTAAAGAGTGCTCCTTAAGAGGCCCTACCTTAATGTATCTATCAATAAGTTTCTTCATAGTCTTAAGAAGAAAAGAAGTAAGACTATTGCCCCGTAGGATTTTGCTTCATAATAGTTAGTGCGCGTATAAACACAACCCTGACCTTTCGCCAGCTTGCCGGTTGATAACCATAGGCAAGGCATGATCTAAATATTTTGCAGAGATAGGGGACGATTATCTCTAACTCTTCTTGCAGAAGTGCAGGGAAAATTTCGTCACGACCTGCAGCTTTAAAACTGCCAAAGGCTTTTATTGTCCATCTTATTCCACTTGGGGTTATCACTTTCCTGGTTAATTTCCAATCAGTATAGGTCACATATTTGTCCTGTGAATCATGTTGTTAATTCCAGAGTCAGGAAAATGTGTGTTCATCAAATGTGATAATGTTTCATTATCGTTATCGGTGAACTTGCCGTCTGGCAGTAGTATTGCCTCGACAGTTTTGTTTGGTCCATTCCTAAGTGATCGCAGAAGTCTAGTTGCTATAGGAAGTTGTTGTATATCCCCATGGAACTTCTTCTAGCTTTCTCTTTTGGACTTTTACAAAGCAGATTTGTAGTTCCTTTGGGCGTCCTTATAGGATTCCCAGTATTATTCCAAACCTGATTTCATTGCTTTATTTAACATCTTACGTGAACTCTTTATTAATTTAGATAGGTTAGCATTCCACCAAGCTACACATTGTCTTGTACCTTTCTTTTCTATTAAAGGACAGTTTTCTTTGTAAACCGAGACAATGGATTCTTGTAGTATATTTACAGCCCTTTCAGTACTCTATCTCGGCCCTAATCTAAACTGTAGGTTATTTACGTTACGAGAAAGATCTGCCTTGTAATTGTCCCAGTTTGTTCTTTTTGGGTTCCTATTGTCTCTACTTTGTTAATTTCCAAAGTGAATCGTAAATGCCAATGATCAGAAAGAGAAGATTCGGAGGAGACTTTCCACCCTTTTATCTTTTGAAGTAACCCTTTTGAACAAACTGTCAGATCAATGAATTACTGCCTGTTCCTGATTACAAAAATAGGTTCACTACCTCTGTTCAGTATACTGAGGTCTGTAGTCAGTAATAGATCCATTATTACCTATCCTCTTTAGTTTATGTTACTGTGTCCCCAAATAGTGTGATCAGCATTAGCATGATCATCATTTTTGCAATTATTAAAGAGTATAGTTCGGTCCCTACCAGGGTCTGTGACCTCATATGGTATCCAAGAACTATTATAATATTCTTACCATCACTTAGATGATAGTCAAGTCTGCATTTGATAAATTAAGTATCAAGCTGGCTTTAACTTTATAATTAACCAAAATACAAGTTCTTAGTTTGTCTGCTAGTTTGTAAAACAGTTTAAAATTCCTTAGATTTTATCTGGTCACCATTAATCCATGGTTCCTGAATAAGTGCTATATGTAAGGGTGTTGTATGCCTCTCAGTTAGGGTCCTTAGTAATACACTACTGGCCCCCTTACTGTGATGCAGATTTATTTGCGTGAATTGAATTTTATTGTCAGCCATTCAGAGAACTTATGTTGACGCTTGAGAAGGACTTTGTACTGAGTATGATACAGGTGTCTGGAATAGTCCCTGTATCACACAACCCTCCCCGTGGGCGGTGTCCCCCCGCCATCCACAGGTGGCGACCGTTCCTTGGGTCCGCTCTCCACTTTTTTTTTTGGATCCATGGAAAGGTTTCCCTCAGATGTGGTCGTTGTTGAGGATGGCGATTTTCTGGGTCCCTTTCAATAATTTATATTTTTACATTTAATAGAAAATATTAACTATTTTTAAATTTTCAATAAAATGTGTAATGTTGCTGAATTATTACTAGTTTTTTAATAAATTTTATCAGTTAGTGGTTTGTGCATTAAGTGTAAAGTATTTCTTGATAGTTGTGTGGGTGATAACCTCCACCAGTCAACCGGTTCGATATCTGTCATCATATTGTCATCAGATGACCGTACATTGTGCACCTGTACCAATATTGTTGTATTTCTCTCCCAATGAACTTGTTCAAAGTTGGCAACACCCCCCCCCCCATCGTTATCACTGCAGGCTACTATACGATGCCATGATGATTGGACTTCTTCTGAGCTATACTGCCAGGGTGACAAGTTAATTTGTGTGCACATTTTTCTATGGTGAAAACCATGTTTTTTTTCTTAAAGTAAAACGTTCAGTCGATCTGCCGTCAACTTTCGTCAACCAGGCTACTTTGTTTTTTTTTTTTTTAACAAAAACGTCGAGATATGATGGGCTGAGCATTCAGTTGTGGCCTGCGGTAGGCCGTTAAACTTGTTACCGTGTTTCAAAAAATCAATCAATCAACTACAAGTATCCATAAAACCCCCGGTTTGGTGCTCCCTTAATTAATATTGTGTAAACACGTTTTTCTGTTTTCATTCTTTTCGTTTTTTTTTTATCTTTATACATATATATATATATATATATACATACCTATTCAAATAACATATAAATATTGAATGCTTAAAAAATATTCTTATATTATAAATGGACCTTTGTTTTTCTCCTTTTACTCTCCCCTCATTTTATTAACATTTGTTATTTTATTTTTTTAAATCAAAACATAGTAGCTCCTTCAATGAGAACTATTCGCGCTTGGCTCGGCTACTAGATCACTGTTCAGTGTTCCCCTGGGCAGCGTGTAAATAGTAGGCCTTCTGGTTTGACTAAAACCTTTCAAATTTAAAAAAATCTAATATAGCTATTTTGTAGAGTATATTTTAAGAAAAATTTTGGTAATAAAATATCTTATTAATAGTTAATAATCTGTATTATTTTAAAGTTTGTGAAAATTTGAATTTTTATGTGTTTTTTACGATATTTAACATTGAAATACGTGTTGAGTCAAGGACAGAAGAAAAGTAGGATAAGTAATTTTATTTTTATAGAGATAAAACTACTTATTAAATAATAGTTATTGTTCGTGTATTTATTTGAACTAAAGCCGATAACTTAGGCGATGTAACAACAAGTTGAAGTTTTTTATTATTGTTAATGCTGGATTTAATTTGTTTTAAAGCAAATTTATTATTTACAGAATGATTGAAAAGGGTATTAACTTATTTTTAATTTTCTGAATGTAATGAATTTATTTTGTTAAATTATTTTTTGGAAACACGTAAAATTAAAATAACGATCTTTAACAAAAAATTGACCATCACTTAACATTTTTATAGTCTCGATGAATTCATTCTTTTCAGAACTATTAAAACTCACTGAGTATCTTGAAATAATAAATAGTGCAACATTATTACATAAAAATTCATTTGATAAAATTAAATAAGAAATCTTTAACATTTTTATTACGGTTACAGTGGAAGATACTAAATTGCTTTTTACCTATTTGCGCAAAAAAACAGAGTGTTGAAGAAGTCCAAGATAATTGGCCGTCATTTATTATTCATAGACCATAACGAAGAAGTATATACTAAGAAGAAATGATAAAAAGGTGATAACATTTTTTCACTGGACTATTATAATATTATTACAGTCGATAAAATATAATTTCTATAATTCTATTGAAAATACAATTTAATTATAAAATGAACAACCCGAACATATCGACTATTTATTGGTTAATTAGCGTAATCTTAATTTTTATCAGCAAATTTTGTTTCTTTAAAACATGAATGTAATTTATAGTTTCTTTAAATCAATCAAATCTGAATATTTTTGATAAAATTTCGCTTACGTAAATTACCAAGCATATAGTTGATATAATTAATTTATGTACAAGAATATTATATTATGTTATAATATATATAATTATATTATTCTTTTTTTTTATTTTATAATATTTTCATATTTTGTATACATGTTAAAATATTCAAACTGCCAAAAAAAAAAATGTATTTTATCCTTATCCTCAAATTCTATGTAAATGTAATGATGAATTTAATAACCTTGGAAATATATTATTAATAGCTTAAAAGTAAATTTTATAATAGAATTTAAAATATATTACACATGACGATACCCAAAACTCTGTAACATAAAAATAAATATGATTAATAAAATTATTATTACATACTGTCAATGTTCCTATTCCTATACAAATCATGTGTACTCTCAGCATATTAATTTAATAACTTAAAAGTAAACTAACCAACTGCTTTATTTTTAAGTGATATATTTATATATTAAGTAACAAAATAATCCATACATCTGATAAAATAAAATAAATTTACTTTTTATTATATTGTGAGTAAGCATATATTTTAATTTCTACTTTACATATTACACGGCAATGGTCTACTATGAAATCATATGTTTCACTTAGTCGAACGTTATTACTATGATATTGAAATAATACATTTTATTTAAACATAAACCTAATACTCCAATCAATATAACCAAAATTTAAAAACAAGGAAATAAATAGTTTTCAGTTTATTTTATTGTAAATATACTTTGTATAAAGTTATTTGTTTAGCCACAAACAATAATTTCTATAGTATCATAAATAAGTGCTTTTAACCATACGCCATAGAACCTCGTATTATGTACAGACTACACCTAAAAGTGAACTGCGGTTATAGAATACCATCATCATAATATAATTTTATGTCATGGTTATTTTTATGATTCATCTTTGCGCATGAAATATCCCAAATTACATGTATGACTTTCATTAGTTTTAAAGACGATAAAGCTTTAAAAACTATACTAAAAAATAAATTAATTGATTTTATAGAAGATATATTATTAAACGGTAATGTTTATATTATAAAGTATATTAGTTGGGATAGGTTCAGTAGCGGTTCAGGGCACGGTACCTTTTCATTTTTCATTCAACTATTTATTTAAACAATTATTGTTAAAAAAATTATTATAAAAATGGATTTGTATAACTCTATCAAGCCTTAGATAAACTTAAAAAAAGTATCCAAATTTTTACTTACATTTATTGAAAGTTTTTAGTGCATACAATGTAAAAGGGAATTTGTATAGTGATTGAAGTATTATACTTGTGGTCAAATTTTCATTTTTGTTTGATTTAAAAAGCTACAATATGTAGAAAAATAATTTTTGTTTTAGCCCCTTCAGGAATAAAAAACTTAATTTTTAATTTTTTTTAATTGGGAATCACTAATTTAGTTTGATCATACGATAGAAAAAAATTCAAAACTTTTGTTCTTATAATTTTTTTTATTGAATTATATGATTTAAGTTATATACTTAAGCATTATATTATAATTATGTAAATGAATATTTACTTATAGTATTAGAAGTCAAATTTTACTTTTAAGCTAAAATGAAAATTCTAGATTTATTTTTAAATATATTTTTGATTTATTTTATGTTTTTATTTTTTTTGGCCTTGGTAAAACATGCTTTATTATAAATTTTGTGAGTCAATCTGTTAATGTCCTTAGGTCATGGCTACAATTTTTGAGTGATATTCTTGTATTATCTATGAGTAGCACAACTTCTTACAGTAATTATAAGCTATACCTGAGAAATTATTTTATAATAATTACACCTAATTTTCAAAATGTAATAGTCATTGTAAGATGAATTCTCGTAAATCAAGAAACTCATCGTAACGATGATTTATTGACTAATCAATTTAAATTTATTTCATTAAATATCATAATTTTTTAGGAACAATCACTTTGGATTTTCGTAAACTTAATAAATTATCACATCTTTTTAAAAAGATTTTTAATACATAAAATAAACATTTTCAAAGTTAATTTGAAATTTAGAATTTTTTTTTCAATCCAATCTCAAAATCTTCCACTAAGGGTATAAAAATGTAATAATTTTTATAATTCCCTTTTATTTATTTACTTAGATAAAACAATTAAAAAAAAACAATAACTGTTCATAATAGACAACGATAAAATTTCACACATCGACATATTTTGGAATTTTACAAAATCAATATCGTTTTAATAACAAGTTTGTTATTCCAAAACCACAAGTTATTTACCATTAAAACAGAAAAAGTAACTCATTGTTTTTTTAAGGTTTAAAATGCTAACTGCTAATATCGATTTCCATATAATTTCAATATTTTGTTCAGCACTAACACTATTATTAAAACAAGCTGAAAGGAATTTGTTTTGTTAATGACAAATGTTTTTTGTCGATTATCCTTTAATATAAAACATTTTTTAAAGTATTAAAAAATTTTTACCAAGTATTTAAGTATTTTTGATGTATGTAAATTATAATATAATATATATTTCAAGTATTTAAATATTTTTCACAGCCTACTTTTTTTTCAAAGTATTAAAACATATTTGGAATACTTAAATAATTATAATTAAATAATTAAATAATTGAAGGGTCGGCGGGAATAACGTGCTATGTAACAATTTGTAAATTGTTCAGTATCAAGTTAAAACAAAATTACTTATGTTATTTCGTTTAAATATTATTTGGACTGCACGTAGCACGTTCTTCCAACTTTAAACATAATCAAATATCTAATTCTATAAATATATTGAGATAGACTCATAGCAAGTTATTCCGCAAAAAAATGAAATCCAGGACAATGTTGATTTGGCGTTATTTTCATTTGCTAAATCTGGAGAAACTTAGGATACTAGTCCCTTCTAATTAAAGAACTTAAAAATTAAAAAAAAATGTTTTTTTAACTACATAAATACATTGATCAAAAGTGAAGAAAATAAAAGTTTCAAACATTTTTTGTTATTTGTTATTTTCTACAGATTTTTATAATTCATTCATAGGTTTTCTGTAATTATATCGATAACACTTATAGATTTTATAATTATTAAAAAAAGCTTACTGAATGAATGATCACACACGACTACAATATGACTATTATATTTTTACAACCTTCTACAAATAATTTTGTTGACCTATAATTTTTTTAATTAAATTAATTTCAGTGATGATTATGATCAGAATAGATTATTATATTGTTATTAATGAGAAATGTTATAATTATTGGGTTGAAAAGTTTTTTCTTTGATTGTTTTTTTTTTTGTTGATTTAATTTTAGTTAAAATTTCTCAATTATGAATATTTAAAAATTAGTCAATTATTTCTATATATTCAATATCATTATCTTTAACAATAAGCAATAATTTTTATTTCTACAGTATATTCAATAAAAACATATTTGGTTATTCATTGAAAATTAAAAATTTTATGTACCTAAAGAATTGGATTTACATAAAATATATATGTAAAATATTACATGCCTTATAACCTTTTTAATTGTGATTATAACATTTAGCTGGTTTTCTGGTAAAACCCTACAACAAGACAGTGTTCTACGGAATAAAGTGCCACTAAATAAATATTCCTTAGCAAGTTGGATGCTGGTAGCATTATAAACAATCATACTAGAGTAGTATCCCTACCGGTTCGCCATCGAACTGATGAGTATGACCAATCAGCAACAGACTTAGAATGTATTATGCTGAATCGGTTTTTAGTGCATATAATATTCTTTGTATTTCTCTCCAGCTTGGTTAAACAACTATATATGTATAAGGAACCGGTATTAAATAATACTTATTATTGATCCTCGACACATATGTGAGAAGTGCCGAACGCTAAATAGTATACTTGCATTATTATTTCATCTTTCGCGTTAGACACTTCTCTTTAACGGACTAACACACAATGGGAGTAAGTAAATAATTTGTATGGTTTTAATTTCAATTTATTTACTAAATACTTTAAGTAGTTTAAATATAACATGTTTTTAATAGTATTAATTATAAGTTAAGCAGGATTAAAAATGAAAACTTGAAAATTCAATCAATTTTTTTTAATTACCACTAAATTAAGATTTTTATTGACATTGAATTTGATATTCAAAATGTTTTATTTATTTAATTTAAGTTCAATTTAACTGAAATATTTATGAACATTTAGTTTTTATAATGATAATGTATTAATTATTATTATAACACAATAGTAAAGCCATAAACTTATTATTAATACATTTATATATCTTTGTTGAAATTATTATACTCAATTAAGTTCTAGTAAGGTTATTTGAATAAAATTTTTCTTTAAATTTTACACAACATAGTGTTGTAATATCTAAATATTTTAGAATTGGAAGGAATAGTAAATTTTGTAGATAGACTGAATCATTTGGAATATTGGAACCATAACTCAACTTATTATAATTTTATTAAAAGGTATCTAATTCAGCTAAATATACAATCCTTTTTGCGTATAAAAAAAGTTTTTGCTAAAGAATTTAACAACAAATGTTTTCTGATTGGTTTGAAAAATTTTCTGAAAGAGAAAGAAAATCGAAAAGTATGTGACAATGGAATATAAATTTTATGTTTATTACATACCCGTAATATTATTTATATTGTTTTACTTTTTATTGATAAGTTTATATTTTTTATCAACATTTTGTTTTATCTAAAAATCCAAGATTAAAAAATGATCTCGTAGTAGTATAATCTATTAAAATTGTATAACTAAATATTGTGTAAATATTGTTCATTAATAAGGAAATGAGTTAATTGTTATAGACAATGAGAATTTAATTTAGTTTTCTTTCCTACTGTACACACCTTATAATAAAAGCTATAATAACTTTAGGAATTATTCAATTTCTGTTTAATGAGATATATTAGAATTGAAGAGATGCATTTACGATGGTTGTGGTCCTTGGAGTCTGGATTCTCGTTAGACATCAATATTTTTATACTATCTAATATGTAGGGTAAGAAACTGACACGTATTTCAAGTAAATTTTATTCTATAGTAACTCCCAAAGAAAATTTATAAAAATCTATTACTGAAAGAAGATTATGAGATTGAAAACTATGCAATATATTATATCCATAACATATTTAGTTTGACACAGAGATATATTTAACGTAGTCAGTGTTGTGTGCATATGAATTAACTGATAGATTATTGCTGCATGTTAATGACGTATCTTTTCCTTAATTTATACACATGATTTTATAAAGATTATGAAAAAATATTGTGAAAGTAAATTTAATGAATATTATTTTTTTTTTGTGTGTGTGATTATTAGTGTAGCGAATATCATAACTGTCTAGATTAGTGTTCTTTTATTAACTGAATTTTTAGACGATATATGTAAAATTTTTTATTTAAATACCTTCATGATGATAATTAGCTGCTAAGCAACTTGGATATTTTTGAGGGTGTTTTTAAAATAATTTTTTTAATATACATACATATATATATATATATATATATATATATGATGATGTTGAATTCTAATCACAATAGTTTATACAGAAAAACTGAAATATTAAATTCATTTGTTAAATGGTGATAAACTGGTTAATTGTCACGTGTTTACAAATAAATGCGGAAAGAATTTAGTAAATCGATTTTCAACTTATTGAATTATTGAGATATGGTTTTTCCAAAATAACATTAAGACGAAAGGATGAAGAACTTCCGTCATAATCGTGTACTGTAATTAGAATGTTCGGTCCCAATCCAAGGTAAACACAAATTACACTATTTCAATTTCAAGTCGGTAGTCGTAAATAGTAACTAGTAGGCGTATTTAATTAGTTCAGCGCACTGATAACGAGAATAAGAGCTGTGCCAAAAAAAGTTTTTTTCTTTGAACATTTTGTTGATTGACAAACATCTGACAAAATAAATAATAATATGACAATATTAAAATAATGTTACACCTGACGAAACGTTTTTGATGGCCGACATTCGTCAAAGGTCACTTGTAAATCAATTTCGAAAATCTAATTGCGGTAATATTAACAGCGACATTCCATGAGACATAAAAATTAATCATAGTGACGTTTTTAAATCTATAAACAGCTATTATGTACTGTTTACAGTATGTTTTGGGTAATCAAAAAACTATTATATTATTATTATATTATTTTATTAAACATAATACCTCTATAGCCAGTCGCTTAACGTGTTATTCAGTTTTTAAATAAAACTGTTTTTTAAATGGAATTCCAGGATAATTATTTTATATGTAAATATTATTGACTATTTATATCTATACTCCAAGGCCAAGGTTATTAGACTACTTCAGTTTTTACCCTTGTAGAGAAGTATCATCCGCAATAAATATATTTTTACTGGGATCTTAAAAGACATATGGCATAAAAAATACATTTTTTTGGTACCATTTTCACCTATAATTAGTTATTATAGATTTCTAAAACTTAGAATTAAATTTGCATTACCATTTTAAGTAAATAAGATTTTTGTAGAAAAAATTAGATATGACTGTTGTTGTTAGGATCAAAGAAAACAAATTAATATAAATATGCGAAAGAAATTAACACCTATATAAACATTTATTCTTATAGAACTTGTTTAATTTTTCAATAATTAATGGCAATTACATGTAATATGAAATAAATAATTTTTCTCCATGAGAGTATTTTACTAATACAATCATGTAGGAAGTATTTATGCGTAGCTTAATATCATGAATACCCACTTACAAAATATATATTTATTATAGAAACTAATATTATAAGTCTATTTTTTATTGTTGTGTTTCATTTATTTATCATGTTTTATTTTATATTTTTGTCAAAGTTGTATAATTTTTTAATATACAAGTTAGTTTTTTATTATTTATCAAGAATTAGTTAAATAATGTCAGTCTTGAACATTATGTTGTGTAATAAAACCTACTCATTTATTTGGATTTCAACTGACCCAGTAGAATGAAACGACTATGATATATTAACAAAATTCTGTACACTAAAAACAGGAAAGGTCAGTTGTTTATCCTCATAATATATACAATTGAATCTTCATAAAATGATGAATTTATAAGTAGTGAAGGAATAAACATCGGGTTTTCAATTTACATTATACATTTTAAATAAACAATTTTACTTAATTTATTAATAAATAATTTTATTATTGTTTTAAATTAACAAAGAGAAAGGAAATCATGTTAAATGTTTTATTAACTTAATTAAAATTGACTATTAAATATCTTAATACAGATTAAACGGTGTTTTACAAAGCCAACAAAACTTTAAAAAGAGAAACTCCAATAAAATATAAAAAAATATATGATGATTTATTTTAAAATATCAATGTAGAATAAATTTATAGTTGTTATCCATTGCAATACGTTATTTAATTATTTTAAACAAAGTTTTTATGATCAATTCTAAAATAAAAATATGAATGATTCCTCTATTTACAAAAGAATGCTTTTTTTTATGTAATTATAATCTAATACTTCAAGTAAAAGCAAAGTTGCGAAAAAAAAAAATTTAACACAAGTGACTTTTGCAATTAGATAGCTCAACTATAGTTAAACGAGTTTTCTTATGATCACGTAATAATTATAGACTTATTTAATAATTGTCGTCTGAACTTGAAAAAAAAACTTAAAATCAGTATTTTATTATATGTATCAATATAATTTATTTATTTGTAATATATTTTTAGGTAACCATTGTGACAGGATTGGCATTCATATTTGCCACAGTTCTCTGTGATGCATTTAAATTTTCCGGACTTGATCCATTGTATAATCATGCACGACAAGTAAATAATAAACATACTGTTAATTATTTTTAAATAAAATTTAATGTTCACAATCTTTTTCGATAGTATAATGGACTACAAAACTACAATATACCACCCAGTCCTCAGCCTTGCTACAATGGATTCCATCATGGAGCATATCAAAAAACATTTCCACAATTTGGTCCGTTTCCCGGTTATCAAAGTCCAACAGCCTACTCTGTTCAAAGACCTTTTTTTGGTCAAGCTTCTCCTTATCCACAATCTTCTTATCGATTCGATAGACCTAATCCTTTTGGATTTGCATCTTTCCCGACACCCATTGAAAATCAGTACACTGGTAAAATTACATTCAACAATATTCCAGGAAAAATTTTCCAAGAACATCAATTTAATGTACATCATGGATCTAAATTACCTTCTGCAAATTTGCCCGTCGACCATAACATTAAGCAATATAAGCCAAAAGAAACCGTTTTAAATCATCCAGTTATTCCTTTCGAATCATTATTTAAAAATTGCCCTAAACCTGCAGTTGTAGGCTTCATACCCATTGGATTTACAGGACAACATGGAATCCCTCAAATTCAGGTGTGTTTATTATATTTAAAATATTTTTTCTCTTAAAAACATTCCTAGATAATAATTATTCTACAATAATCATCAATACTATAACATGTTTACATACACGAAAATATTTCTAAATATAAATTTTTCATAATAAATCATTTTTTTTTATAACATATAATTGGTATAAAAAAGAGAAAATTATTTATAAACTAATCATCTATTATAATTCTAATTCCTATACAAATTTAAACTAACAGTGTCATTCTTTAGAAATATATATATTTATACTTAAATAGGTATCTCTCTATATAGACAAATGAAATAAGTATAGTATACTTAGTATATTGTAGTCCAACTAAATATCTTCTTAATTTTAGTTTAAATAATTATAACCTTGAACCTAATGTATATTATAACTCGTTTACTTAAATTATGAATCTGTCAGAGATCATTGTAAAAATAATTTCACAAACACTAATAGAGATATCACATTTTGTATTATTCAACACAAAACAAAGTTATCAAACATAGAAAATCATTTTTACTATTGTAATTACATTTTAGTTCAAAAAAATTTTTACTTCACGTATGTGTTTAATTTACTACTCGCCAACATTTAAATTAAACTACCATGCTATTGTTATTTGAATAACGGGTTATTTCTTGATTAAATTATCTAAGTGAGTACATACATTTTAATAAAAATACATTTATTATTGTCAACATTAATTAATTGGCAGCTATATACTTTTTATTATTGATATTATTGTAACATTTTTTCTCATTGTTAAATAACGAGTAATAAATGAATTCTCAAATCAGTTTTAAGTAATGAATAATGTTTTTTTTTAAATATGAACATTTTTTTCAGTCTTTTTACCAGACATCTCTTGCAGACAAGGCTACACATACTTCAAGTCACCCAATAGTAGTCAATCAAGATATTGGTGATAAGTATAACACGGGTATTATCCCTGTTCCAGCTAGTTTAGGAGAAACAGAAACGCCTCAATCTGTTTTAACAAATAATCCATCTTTGGGAGTATCTACTGTGCAATCAAAACCTATCGAAAGTGATTTAGCACAGAAGTTAGAACCAACTAACAGTTCACCGCCGCAAGAGGAGGTCAATTCAATCACAACCGATCCTACTTCTGATGCTTTGAATTACAATGAAGTACCAGCGGCTATTGACACCGCACAAGATTCTAAACAAAACGAAGATCAATCTAACGTTGCTACTAATGAAGAGTCCAATGAACCCAATTCAGTTCATGATGATGTAGAAAGTACAACTTCAGTTAAACAAGATAATACCTCAGAATCTTTTAAAGAAGATTCACCAGTTACAGTTGAAGATGTTAAAGAAACTGTAACTGAGAATAACAATTTGGTTACCGATATTACAGAAATTGTCAATCAAGACGATTCTAACAAATTGGTTACCGATATTCCAGCTATTGTCAATCAAGATGATTCTAATAATTTGGTTACAGATATTCCATCTAATTCCAATCAAGACGATTCTAACAATGGCAATAACAATAATGAAGAAAATGTTGAGAATGTTGAGAATAGTAGTCAAATTACAAGTGATAACCAAAATCAAGTTCCAACGGAAAATAACAGTGACGTTCAAAACGATAGCAACAATGAAAATTCAAGTGATCAACCCAACCCAACCAATGACTTATCCCAACCAACACCAACAGAAGTATCTGAAAATGATAAACCAGCCGATACTGGGATTGTAGAACAAAATCCAGTAAATAGTGGTAATTATGAATTAACATAAAACTTTAGTATTTTAAAATTAAATAAATATAAATATATTTATTAATAATTTNAATTATGAATTAACATAAAACTTTAGTATTTTAAAATTAAATAAATATAAATATATTTATTAATAATTTATTTGTAATAATTTTATAATTTTCTCTCATTGGAGAGGGTGTAGCACGAGAAAAAATAATTTCCCCAACTAATTTACAATTATTGTAGATCACTTTTTCGAATATCACTTTTTGTCCACTCAGCTTTAATTCATATATTCTATGCCGTTATATTGTTTGAATATTTATTCTATAGTTATAGCAATTAAGTTAATTTATTAACAACGCCTAGATATATTTGTTATTAAGACCTTATAAAATTATTATATACTATGATGATTTAAAAGTATTTAACTTGAATTTTATTCATTAATATTATAATTTTTAAGGTAATTAAGTTGAGTTAAAGATAAAAAACAAACATATATTCTATATTATCATAACAAGTAAGCACATAATTATTACATTCTTAATAATTTAATAAATAAATCGTAATTTTATAATTTAATATATCAGATTAAAATAATTTGTAAGTCAGTGTTCTTCATTCTTACAATAATGCCAAAGTTTAAGAATAATAATTCACAATAAAACTTACCATTACCAATTATAGATTTTATAGATTAAAATATGAGGGTGTAACGTGGACACTATGGCGCACTCTGATTTTTCAAAAACCTACAACTGTTTACTTTAAAATCTATAAATTCATAATTACATTAAATTTTAATACATTTTTTTTAGATGTTACATCATTACAAAATGTATTAAACGCACCTATTGTAACTGCCTCAGACCCTAATTTGTTCAGTGAAACAGACTATTCGTTAGACGTTAGACTAAATAATCAAGGTGTTCAACAACCATTATACATTTATGAACCAGTGAGCTTGATTGGATCAAACTTAAATACATTTAGCAATCTTGGGAGTACTGCTCAACCATCTGTAGAAGTTTTAAATAACGGTGAAAAATCAGATGTAGCTAAAATCGATGCTTCAGTTTCAAGAAATGGTGTAACTACTGAAAATACTGTGATATTAGGGTCTAGTACTAGTACACCATTAGATAGAAGTAATAATCCTGAAAATAAACAAGAGATTAAATCTAATGCTGGTGTCAAAGCACAGTTACCAAAGAAAAGTAACACAATTCAAATAGTTCAAGAAGGCCCTGTGTTTTCAGGACAATTTCCTTCTCTGTAAGTAAAATTCTTGCACGGTCATTATTTTTAGTTCTAACATAAGATTTACATTTATTTATTCTTTTATTATTACTATATTTATCATTAACGTTCTTTCTGAAAAGCTATGCTTATGATAAGGTGACCAAAAAACCTACATAGCCCAACATAACGTTATCTAATAAACTAATTCGATTTATTGTCCGTAACATCGTCATTACCATANCACCGACACCAACGTACTAAGACACGACGCGATTTTGACTGAACTAAATAGGCCGTTTTCTTAGATTTAGTACTTAATAAGATACTTGAAATCGATAAATTTCAATCACATTACATAACAGTGTAATAATTAATTTTATCAAAAAAAATTTGTTTTATTTTAAATTAAATAGTTAAATAATTATTTAATTTAAATGATAATCGAAAATTTTAAAAGATTAATTTCATTAAAAATATAATTGTGATCGATAATAAACTAATTCGATTTATTGTCCGTAACATCGTCATTACCATAGTCTTAATCCCAACTACATGGGGTCGACTCTGCTTAAAACGATTTGACGGAATTTTATACCGGCTATCGACCTGACGTAACCTCATTATGGCTGAGGAAACAAGTATGGGGCAAGGGGTGTGTCACTGTTAAAATTTCCGCGTGGTCACCCATCCAGGAACCAACAGCAAACAACATAGCTAAATATTAGTGTTAATGCGACGACTGAATGATGTATTGCGCTACATTACGCCCCCATATTTACAATCAGTATCAAAATATAAAATATCTTAGTTACACTTAAATTTATTCCGAAATTAAGTTATATGTACATTTATTTCGGTACTACGTATTAAATGTTTTTATTCGTAAATATCAGCTGATTTTTAAACTAAAAATAACTCTAAAATAGTAAAGTATATTTTTTACACAGAAATTGATATTTTAGGTACGATCCTTCAAGCGATTCACAGCTTGATAGTTTTAAATTCTTTGACCATCCATCCATTAAGGCATATGCAGGTCAAGCGTCGATGAACTCTTACTCACCGGAAACAGCATTCACTAACTTTGACGCTTTATTTAAACAAGGATACTTCATTGAAGGATCCCCGTCCTTGACTCCAGAAGCGAATACAGCCAATATTTTTGGTATTATGTCGGGCACTCCTATGTCCATTGCATCAAAAAGTCATCCATTACATTCACAAGTGTTTAAATACTCACCATCTCACGTGCCATACCCAGGATTGGATGTAAAAAGTTCTAAACAAGGACCAAGGATCGTCGATTTTACTCCTCTTGCTGAACCAATTGTAAATGTTAAATCATCGCCTAGTGTTACCACAAGTGCCAGCCCTACTACTGTGCCAAAAACTGTCAAGGCTTAAAATTTTCCAATATCTAAAATCTTTGACTTTCCTTTATAAAAATACTTTGCATAATTCTGATTGTAAATTTTTTTTCTTACTGTCCTCTTTGTATAATGTACAAAATAATCAATCTATTTTTATTAAAAACTGTAACAATGATTTAAATTATATACTCGTGTTTTGTACTCTAAATATAATTTTTATAATTTTTTAAAAATAGAACATTTTTTGTACCATACATAAAAAATTAATTTTTATTTCAATTTCATTGATGATAATTTATGGTACAATAATTTTATTTAAATTAAACATGTTCGGTATATTAGTATACACAAAAAAATCTGAGTTCCAAGGTCAAGAAAGTCATTAAGTAATATTTACGATCTAAACTTTAAGGAGCATATTTTTAGTTAATTATTATGAGAACGAGCTATCAAAATAATATGCTTAAGATTAGTTTAATAAAAGCTTATTTATATAGATCAACAATTCATTTGATTGTCAATTAAATTATTAAATTTTATTTAATTGTATTTTTCGTTGACTATAAAATAAAAAGTATGTTTGTACTTATAAATTAATTACATAAGATTACAATTTTTGTTAGGTACAATTGCTAAATTTAAAAAAATCAGTATAATCTAGCAAAAATAAACTGAAAGTGTTCAATAAAAATCCACTAATTTATAATCCTATAATAAAACAAAGATTAATTTATACTATAATTTTTATGCTAATTTATTTGCACATTAATTTCAAGAAGTTTCAAATCTACTAAAGTTATAAAAATTTTGTTATCAATGATTACCAATAACCAGGTAAAATATTATTGAATTTTGGTAAAGTTAGTAACTCATTATTACGGCGTAACATATACAACTCAATAAACAAATAAGATGTAAATAACTGCAGCAAATGTTGTTTGATAGGGACAAGTAGGACAACTGTAGAGAAAGATAATTTTTAAATGTTATGATATTTTAAAACAAACTATTGAATTTTTATTTGATAATCGATAATACATAACTAAATTGTTTTTCTTTCAAGTTTAATAATGATGGATATTCTTTTATAAATATTAAGATTACAAACGTATAATAATCAAATAATGCAACTTAAATTCAGTGGCGATTACTTTTATACAAATCACCTGGCAAATTTTACGTATAGAATGTACTTAAAATGTCTATTTATGAATAATAGATCATTGGCTTGTATCCAAAAGTTGATAAATTACAAAAATAGGATTTTGCGTTTAATATTGATAATATGATATGTTTAAAAAAAATGTGTTATCTGACATATATCAAAAAATGAAATACATGTTAAGAAACGTCAATGTGACACGATTAAAATTTAACATTTGTTTTTGCTTTAATAATAAGTTGTCAAAATTGACTCATTAGATTTTGTAAAAAAATTATTTTACTAGAAGTTTAGAACAACTCCAAAAAATTTATTTATTGGGTTTTGATAAAACAAAACGTTTGATCGATTGTGTATTTAGGGTGATCAAGGGGAGCTGCTATTGCTCCAGGTGCAACTTTTAAGCGGTATATCTCATAAATAAATTTCTTTATTTTTTCATGGCAAAACTAGGTCTTACTACAAACTGAAATTTTCAGATTTATATAAATATTTTACAAGTCATGCTTGATTAAATAAATTTAAGTAACTAGTTTGCTGATGACGGGAAAAAAATTCATTTTTTTTTTTATTATTCTTAAACTAATCAAACATATTTAATTAAATAAAAATACAATAATCATTTAAATTTATTTTTTTGTAAATATATTTTGTATATTATTTTTAAACAATAATTGAATTATCTATAGTAATTCTTCTTGTTTTTAATTAATTTTTTTTACGTTATTATGAAAAAAGACTTTGCATAAAAATATTTTAGGTCGGGTAAGATATCACAAAAATGTTTAGTAAATAGTTAACAAAATGTACACAAATGATCAATCGTAATATTTACAATTTTTAATTTTAATTTTAATTTGTTCAGTTTAAATAATAATTTATAATTTTTTTTCTGGTTCTACGATAATTAGACTAGTAAAACTGGCAACAAGTCAATTAAACATTGTTGAAATACAAAATTGTCAATGTATAATTTTGATTAAGTATACAAAATAATAATACCGTAACAATTTTTTACAAATCAATTGTTTGATTATATTATTGAGCATTTTATTTTAGGCTTGCACATAAATAAATAATTTTACAATCATGCATATTTTGATAGTCAAAACATAACTCTTAAACCTTACATCCTCACTTACTCTAGTATATAACTGTCCCTGTTGTCTTTTAATCATATTATTGCATGTTTGTACATCGTACATTAATTTTAATAGCTAATAGTTAAAACACATGCAATTTGAATTATCAACAAATATCATAAAATATTTAAACAGCATAACCAACTGGTGCAGGTGGAAACTCTTCAATTTTTTTTTCTTCTTTTTTCCCAATTTTTTGGGGAAATAGTGGAGGTGGAGGTACATCAGGAATTTCTCTATTTTCTGGCGTATTATTCTTAATAACGGCACTATTATCTGCCTCTGGCCTTTCTTCGGGCTCGGCTGTGTAAGAGTGAATATACTTTTTAGTTCCAGTAGGATATAAAGAAAACATAGAGTATGATGTATATGGTAACACTAAGAATGGAAGAGGATGCAATACTGGTGAAACAATCGGATCAGCTTGGCTGGGTATGAGTTCTTGGTCGCTGGTAATCAGTGCATTGTATATACGGGGCACGCGAGCCATTTTGACCGCAGCCACTTGTCGCACAGTAGATAACAACAGCATCTGAAGCATGACAACGTATGCTACTTTGGCCAACCACGCAGGTGATAAACTCTAAAACAAAAGGTTATATTTTTAAATCCTGATGAATAGAAACATTTAAAAAAAATCACACCAACGATATTTATTTTTTCCAAAATATTAGTAAACATTTTTTCCGTCTACATTGTACTCAATATATTCCAATATAATTAATATACTACTTTGATATTTCATTTTTCTTTGAAATGATTTACATTATTTAATATTTAAAACTCATAATTAGAAAATTTTAATTTACTGTATTCCTGATTTGGTAAAGAAAAAATCAAATTTAAGGTAATATCATAAAATATAATAATAAAACATAAATTTATTTAAAACATCGTGAGTGGTCTACGCAGTAATCATTTTATAGAACAAAGTTAATGAAACAATATAAATTATAAATTATTTAATTTATGTTAATGTTTATTATTAAGCGATAAGGAAATAAATACATTTTAAAAAATCCAATAAACTAAATATTATGCAAGAATTTAGATTTAATAAGACAGCCATCCAATGTTAATTAAGTGGTGTGACTAAGGGAATACTATAGCGTTTCCGAGCTCATGGATCATAGTCTTCATTTTAAATATATATAGTTTTTACTATGTATTTTTATTTGTAGGAATATGACTATTACAATATTCAGCGAGTATATTAATGAAGAGCGAAGGATGTATGTGAACTTAGCTCCTACAGGACTGTGAGCCTCGTATAATTTTAGTACTACAAGATAACTGAATAAATTAAGTATACTCACAGATTTTTTATATGACCCAACAATGTTGAACCAAGATAATTTATATGAAATCAATTACTCTATTTTTAGTAGATAAATTTAACAAAAGATTCTGTAGATTTTTTCTGTACAACCATATCAATAATAAATATATTACTATCAATATACTAATAATCAACTAAACTGATTATCAATAACAATATTTAATATAAATAGTTAAGTAAATAACAAAAGAAAAATTAAAATTGCTTGTGTAGAAAACTTTTAAGTACAATACAACAGTGAAACTGGTTCCATTAAATCAATAGGATATTTTCCGTGATAGTATTCTTACACTACGAGTTAAAGTTCACGTAGAATAATTTATATTAAATACACACATACACTTACGAACAGCTGTTTTTAATGCACTTATACCTTATAAAATATTAAAACGTAAAATTATTTATTTCTTTAACAATTGTTTACAAAAACACTAAAACTTAAAAATATTACTAGTCCAAAAAACTCACTGACCTTATGATAGTTAATATTTACTCTGTTAGAGACTTTTTAAATAACAAAATATATTTGAACTATTAGAGAATCATGCGTTATGTTTAAATGAGTTGAATCAATGCAAGCGAATAGACCTATGAATTTATTATGCGTAGTGGATTGTATGTTGTAATAGCTGTTTACACTACCTATTTATTACATTAATGACTTCTAACGAAAAATATAATACTGTTATAAGTAATTTTATTGACTTTAAATTATATGATTATCTAAGAATTCCTATGGACTATTAGTCCTAACGAAAAATGACGCGACCTTGCTTTTTTTTTTACTAGTTGTCTTAACTATATGGACATATAAACATATTAAAACAAAACAGGCTTATCATAATTTTACCCACATTTTTGAATAATCATATCCATTTGAAATATAAATACACTTTTTAATCGATAAAAACATTATTTTGACAACAATTCATTTACGGAAGTCAGAAAATCTAAGTAATGCATTTATGCATTTGCCTTGAAACATTGTATTCAGTGTTTTTATATCGAAATCTATAACTCACCGCATTTTTACATGGGTTTTCTCAATTTGCAATGTAATGTTTTGTACATAAACATAAACCTTGGTCTCATTTGGTACAGCAATTGTCTTTAATTATGTTCAAACAAATGCGTTCGGATAGGAAGTTTTAATAAACAATTAGCAGTAGCTAATTGTTAATATCCAATCAGTTAAAAATCTGTCTTATTTATTTTATTGTTTTCAACAAGCTAAAGTATTGTTTAGTTTAAATGTTAATTTATCGCTAAAATTTTCTGTGATCATTTACACGGTTTTGTCAGGTTCGCATGTATTTAAAAGAAATATTTAGAATCAATTAATAAATTTTTGAATAGTTGAAATTTTTTGTAACGCATGAAAAATAAAATATGTTAACTTCAGTATTGCTTAGTCATTAATATGTTAACAAAGTAGAAAGTACCTTTAAATATTGTTTGAAATAATCACAAAGACCCGAAGAATAGAATTCCAGTAAATAAATCAATAAAAAATAATAAATGAAACCATTTGATTGAAAATTAATAATTATTTAACATTTATAAGCGTACCTTAATGAACATATTGTTTTCGGCCTGTTCTGGTTTAGAATACATCGGAAACTGTCCTCCTTTTTGAATACTTTTCCGTATTGAGCGATTTGTTTTTAATATCTATGAACCAGTCTGAAGGCCGACGACTTATTACTTCAGTAGTATAGTTTTTCACTTTCAAGTAGGCAAACTGCACGTAAACTAACTCCACATGCGTAGAAGACTTGTGATCAAAAAGTTCTATTATATTGACTCAATTGGAATAGTTCCCAATCGTTGTATGAGTAGTAAAGGTAATTTAGGAAGAACCTCTGTAATCAGCGTGGGCATCAACGGGTTAGTAATTATCATAATGATAGCATACCAAAAAGCTGAAATTATCCACCAATAGACCATCTTCCAGTGAGATTCTGCAAAATTATAATCAATGTTTATAAATTATAATTCATGTTAAAACCAAATACATTTTAAATATATAATATATATTTTAATATATACATATTATTTGTATGTATAAATGCACAAATAAAAATAATTTCTGGATTAATAAAATTTTATAAAATTAATAATAATAAATCTTTATTATGCTTACAGCATTTTATCAAAATTGAAATATGTAAAGAGTTTATTTTTCATTGAATTATATTTTCTTAAAATTTATTTAAAAATTGACTTAATTGGTATTTAATTAAAATTTTTACATCCATAATAGCATACTTAGATGTTAAAAGGATTAGTAAAATGTGATTCTTAAAAATACAAGACTTATATTTTTAAACATAAGACATTCTACCGAAATTAAATTAATTTAGAAAATAAACGTTGAAAAACTGTGGAAGAATATTTATCAATTTTTTTATATTCGATTGCTCTTATAAATTCTTTGTCGTGGCATTAAAGTCTTTATTGAAAAAATGATTTCAACAAATTTTGCATTATTGTGCTGATAAAATATTTTTATGAACAATAGAACCAAATTTTTTATTAAAATAATTACTGTAAAAAAGGGTAAATAAAACAACCTTATAATATAACTTTAGAGAAAATCTTTGCCTTTTTTGTTCTACTTAACAACTTGGTTTTCAAGATTCTTTGGAACGCAAGACCTTTTGTATGGGCATAATTTGGACACTTCCTACAACAGCCTTGTTCATATTCTCCCTTAAATTTCTATTCATCTACTTTACGGAAATTTATATTACATATACGTTAATATTTTTTTTGAGTTTGAGATAATATTATTTACTCACCTAGTACATAATTATCGTATAGCCTTAACATAAATAATATGTGTATTACATACATTATGTTGAAAGATTCTGAGTGAACGCATTTTTTTTTTTATTGCACTACTATTTTTAAAACTAACTTAGAAGTTACTTTTTATTCGCTACAAATCCGATCGCGGATTTTAGTCAAGTTAATTAACTTCTATATGATTCATAAAACCACAAATAAAAATTAGGTCGGTTTCTCCTAGTCTACCAACCCAATTTTAAGGTAAACGATGATTTTAACAAATATCAAAGAAATTAATTTGCGAGTACTTGAAATTCATTAAAGAATTTGACGAACAAAATATTTTTACGATTAACACAAGCCAAAATACTCAAAAAGGATAAATATTAATTAAAAAAATATTAAAAATGAGTAATATCGCACATGGTTTTGACCCCAATCTACGCGCTGTGGAGTATACATTCTAAGAGCAACGCATTATGTCATCCGACCACTGCGGTTGTAACGTGCGCGACTAGATTGCACCAGACTTAAAGTGTATTAAGCAATTTAAAATATATTTTAGCCCGACCCGATAAAAGTGAAAGACTCCAGCGTATACAAAAAAATCAGAGCCTTGCAGTTCAAGGACATACCCCCTCCATTCCGAATATGTCTAATATAATGAATGAGAATAAGAGTTTAAAAAACACAATGTTCATAAAAGATTCGCAAAAATAATACTTAACATTTTTAACCTATACCTGTATAAAAAATAAAATAAATTAATGAATTTAACTTAATTATATGAAAATAATAAAATTATTTAAATAGATAATAACCTTTGTTAAATATGTGGGATCAATGTTTCAAATGGAGAATTTTTGAATAAAAAAATAAAGGTTATTTATTGAATTTCTTCAAGAACATATTTATAATTATAAAAGTTGTTCTTCGATTTATCTAATGGTCGATATTTATATTTGATACCTTTCTTTTTAAGGATATTTTCAATTCAAACTTGAACATTTTATCACGACTAAATTTCTACGAACTTTATAAATAATAAGTAATATACATTAAAAAAAGTGTAAGTATATTACATGATATGCTCTTTTCATTAATTTCACAAATAGTATAGAGAAGTGGAAATTATCATATAACACCAGAAATTTAATAAAAATATGAACACTTGATTATGTTTAAATAGTATTTAAATTTTTTAAGAATGTTTACATAACATATATATTGAAAATAAAATATATTTTTATATTCTTCTTCTACCCAACTTCCAAAAAGTGTATTTTGCACATTTACATTTTTTAAGCAATGTATATAGACAATTGTAGCCTAATAATATATTTTCCATGTGGTTTATTTGAAGCTATTGGGTTTTATTTTCAAAAAACATTGTTTTGAGAACACATTGCTTATTATTTTACATAAGTAAATGCTTCATTTTAATAATCAAATTAGAACACTATCTATAATTTTTGTATTAAATTTTTATAAAAATTCAAAACTTATGCTAAAATAAGCTAAAGCATTTGGATAAGACTTACTTAAAAAATCGCGCAGCTAAGATGGTTACTACGAAACCAACAATTGTGAAAACAATTACGATGAGTTACACACGAAGACCACTAAGAAACTGACGTTTGTGCTTACAGCGCCGGTCACCAATCTAATATAGACTTAGTACGATGAAGCAATATTGAAGTATAGCTACATTTACAATTTCCATATTTGTTATCACACAAATTTAGTTTCTCAATTAACGCTTCAATAAATTCGTAAATTTATACCTTTCTTAGTTAGATTTTTATCTTAACAATTATTAATTGTTATTAATTTTACCAGAAAATATTCGTTTTACTTTAAGCTGGAGAATAATAATAATGAATAAAGTGCTTTTCTTTTTTTTTTATGGATTTAAATAATTAAATATGCAATTAAAAATTAAGTTTTAATTGCACTATAGCTTCATTGAAAAATCATGGATCAAATAAAAATAAATAATTCAAGGCTGATTAATGTTTATCTTAAGCATTATAGGACGGTTTTTAATATCGTAATCTTATAACAATTAAAATAAAAAGATCATAGTTTTAAAAATGTATGACTAAAAATTTTGTTTCGTTCAATAATCGTATTTAATATAAGATATTATTCCAATAAGTACAAATTATTATGATGAAATAAAAAAAAAAAGATTATAAACAAAACCATAACATTAAATTATTAATATTTGATACAATTATAATAACATTGTTACATTCAACCATAATAATTTATAAAATACTCTGATTTAAATATTTTCCATACTAAATCTCATACAGTCTTACAATACTTTTAACTGAATTATTAGAATTTGATTTACGTATGCTGAACAGATATTTCTTAAACTAAAATACTATTTAAAGTAGAATAATATTCTTTTATTTTATGTAAAAAAACAGCTATATGGATTGTTTTATGACTTTGTGTCAATGCTTGGGATTACTTTGCAAAATCCAATAGTTGTTATAAATTTTTCAATAAAATACATTTATGTGGACGATTTATAATTACATCAATATTAATATTCATCTCGAAATAATATAATCAATAAATTTTATGGCTATAATATATGCAATACGGTAAATATCGAGTTATCTGTTCAAATTTTAAATAGAAAAAAAAAACGCTACAGTATCTGTACCTATAGAAAAAATAATAATAATTGTAATAATACTTCTCGAATAAACATTATTCGAAAAGTTCAATGGATGAAATCAACTGTTCTATACCCTTTGTCTATGAAGAAAATAAAAACTATTTGTTCATTTCATCGATAAAAGTACAACAGANCTATTTAAAGTAGAATAATATTCTTTTATTTTATATAAAAATAACAACTATATGTATTGTTTTATGACTTTGTGTCAATGCTTGGGATTATTTTGCAAAATCCAATTGTTGTTAACAATTTTTCAATAAATTACATTTATATGGACGATTTATAATTACATCAATATTAATATTCATCTCGAAATAATATAATCAATAAATTTTATGGCTAATATATGCAATACGGTAAATATCGAGTTATCTGTTCAAATTTTAAATAGAAAAAAAATCGCTACAGTATCTGTACCTATCAAAAAAATAATAATAATTGTAATTATACTTCTCGAATAAACATTATTCGAGAAGTTCAATGGATGAAATCAACTGTTCTATACCCTTTGCCTATGAAGAATATAAAAACTATTTGTTCATTTCATCGATAAAAGTACAACAGACGACTACTTCGATGAAGTGTTCGGTAATTTTAAACACATTATTTAACCAATAATTATTAACTATGAGTCTTCGTATGCTGTTATTATATATAATATAATTATATATTTTTTTATCATAATATAAATTTTATTATAACATCCTAAGTCTGTTGATGCCTTGTTCAAGGAAAATTATTATCTAAGTAATCGAAATCTAGTAAATGTCGATAACCCTAATATTCTTAATACAAAGTTTCTAACACGAATAGTGTATACAAATAAAATTGAAAATGCTACAGACACTGATCCTAAAATATATGAGTCTACGAATTATTTCAACTCTGAAAATTTAACTTATGGAAAAAATTGTTCTATTAAATGTATCTAAACACAGATAAATTTTTATTAAACATGATGTGTTATATAAGAGTTTTAACTTTTACTATGAATGTTGTACATCTAAGTATTTTATAAACAAAAAATTATTTTAATCTACTAGAAAAGTTTTTTAAATCCGTGACTGAATGACATAATTATATTTATATTTATATCTTTAATAGTTGAAAACAAATTTGTTAACAAAATATGAAAGTTAGGTATCTAATCCTTTTATTAAATTAAAATACACAGATATCACACAATTGGTCAAACTAATACCTAAAGATTCTTTTGGTTTTACTATTGTAACAATATTTGTACTATGCAATTTTGAAAAATTATGCCCAGGCCAGATTAAGACCTATATCGGGGCGGTATCTTGAGATGGGCTTCTATCACTACCATAAAAGAGTGATGATCAAAAAGAAAACTAGAAATACTATATATCTCTAATTATGACAGACTAGTAAAATTTATTATAAATCCTTTGAACTCGATGGAGGGCGTTTGATGACCCTTAATCCGGCCTTGTTTATTTATATTATTGTTAACAAATAATATATGGATCATAATACCACAATTAGAAGAAAATAATATCACTAAAAAGCACTATACAAAATTTATTAGAAAGAAAATATAAAATGTTTATTTCATTTAAATTAATATTATTTATAATCTGATAAAATGTTAGTTTAAAATTTAAGATAGCATTATAGTGAACAGTTTATTTAAAATTAATAGTAATTTCTCATCTACTTTAAAGCATTTGGGTTGTCACATGCACACCAAACGATTTTAGTTTTTTAACACCATACACCTTATATGGTTTAAAAAAATTAAAACCGTTATGATATATTAAAAATTTATAAAATTTAAAATATTTGAAATTTATACTACTTACGTAATAATATTATAGATGATTTTTTCTGATTTGTATTGTTTATTATTTTGAAGTGTTTTAATGTTACAGTTTTAAAAAATATAATAGACATTTTAATATTGTTTCTTGTAAATTGGCTATAGATAAAATTACAATTTATGTTATACTTTCAAGTTTTAGAAAAAATTACAAAGAAAATTGAATTTTTTAATTAACTATTTTAGATGTTTTAAAATGATTATTGGAAGAAAAAAAACTGAACTCTTTTATTAGTTTTCAAAGAATGTAACCACAATTAACATTTAATTATATTACAATGTTTCTAATTTAATAAAATATTTAAAGTTAATATACTACATTTTATTGAAGTATCGATGCGTAGCTGTGAAGTTATTCATTTTACAATGATGCGTTTTTATTTTTCATAATAAAAGAATAATGACATTTTAAATATTTTTTTTTATGTTCTTTAAATGTATATTATATTAAGTGTCTTCTAAGAAAATGCTTTTTAGTTCCTTAAAAGGCCATAGTGACCTCCCCCAACAGAGATGTTTTTCTTAACTAGTGATACTCCGAAACGGTTGGTTAGTCTGTCGCCGAAGAGAGGGATTGTGACTCCCAATTTCCAAACTCATCTCTCGCTCGGCAAGTGAAGCCGTCCGTTATCGAATTTCAAACCCCAGACAGTGCGCGTCGTAATTAACAAGTATTAGTTAGCAATTTAGTTAATTTAATCACATTTAAATTATACTTAAATAAAATAATAAGTGGAAGTTAAGGATAAGGCTGGCCAACCCCAAGTATTTGGGATTAAGGCGAGGAAAAAGAAGAAGAAGACTTAAATAAAATATTGAATAATGATATTAATTTCTTTAATGTGTCTTCGGTTAATATTATATAATAATATTAATAATTATTATGATAATTTTTATTATGTTCGTGACTAAAAACTATGATAATATTATCTTCGTTTATTACTTGATGTTCATAACTTTTTACTATTAATTAGAGTTGGGCACACTGAAGGGCTCTAAATAAGCAGTTGGCTGCCTGATTTTTAAACGGCATTACCTCTACAATCTATGTTTACATCGGTATTAAACATTAGCACTTATTGGTTAGATTTGTAAGTTTCTTTTCTAGCCAGTTTTCAACGACGCTACCAAAATGGTAATTATTCCTTATAATTTTATCCAATTCAATCCATTAGAACTAATCATTATTTTAAAAATCACTGTCTATTTTACTTTATAGCTTATTTAATTTATACCAATTTTCTATTAACTGTTTAGATTATTAATAATTTAATCTTTTATCTAATACCTAAATTGCATTAGGTTACAATAATGTTTTTGTTTCATTTTTTTCTAGTCTTTGGTTATTCCCGAGAAGTTTCAACACATCCTTCGTATTCTCAGTACGAATATCGATGGAAAACGTAAAGTTATGTTTGCCATGACTGCCATTAAAGGTATTGGTAGACGTTTTTCTAACATCGTGTTAAAGAAGGCCGATGTGGATTTAAACAAAAGGGCTGGTGAATGTTCTGAAGAAGAGGTATGTATTAAATTAATGTATTATTTTATTGATACATAATGAGTTATTTTTTATTCATAAAGCAAATTCTAGTCATTTCGTAGTACTTAAATTTATAGTATTACATTTTGAGGTTTGCGTATAAAAATGCCTTGCAATTACCAAGGGCTTTTTATTGTTTATGATGGGAAGCTCATGCCTGTGAAGGAACATAAATTTGTTAGATATTATATTAAGTAGAATGATATAAATAGGTTCGTTAATTAAATGGTGTTTAGTAAATAATGAGTATTTTAAATTCTTTTATAATTTCCACTCTATCAAAGATAATTTATTTTAATACCTTCAAATAATTTGAGAAATAATGTTAATCATGATTTAATATAGATATTTATATTCAGGGTGGAACAGATCTATTTTAAAACTCGTGTAACTTAAAACATATTTTAAATTTTGCTGTAATTTTTTTTGTCATCAATTTTTGCTTTCTTGACTATTAATGACATATTTTTAACTATTTATTTTTAATAATAATTTTATTATTTCAAAACAGCTTTTATTAGTTATTCTTACAAAAAATTTAATACTTGTTAAGTACTTATTGAGCATTATAAGCATTTTTTTTCATAATTTTTCCAAATCGACCTTAATTAAATAGTTTACTGAACACATTTCTTCAACAAAATTTGTTAAAATGGTTAATTCAAGTATTTAAACTATTTGAGTTCCTCGTGAACTAATGTCATTATCCATTGAGTTAATATATTTTTATTAATAACACTGTTTTTTTTTTTACATCACATTTCTATCTTTCATATCTATTTATATGTTAACCCTATATTATATATTTTAATATATGATTTATAACATTTGAGTTTTAGTGAATATTAGTTATAATTCTAATATAAGGTCTTTATCTATATGTTATAACTACGAAAATATTAACACAATATGAGAAATTAATATACTAATAAATGTATATTTAAGTGGTTGAATTGTGTAATATAGATTATATACAGTAGCAAAAAGAATTGAGTTATAGTAAACTAATTCATTTATATTGTATGAACATAAAATTATAATAATAATTAGATTTTAAGATGATTTTGTTTGTTTTAATTAATTTTTTTTAGTTAAAAAGAAATATATGTATCTACTATTTTAATCTACGCACAAAAATATTTTTACTAACTTCCTATTTATTAGGCTAATTATTACATTTTTCTGCTATTAAAAATTCTTCATTAGGATAATATGAATAGAATTATTCATTTTATATTCTATCGGTGGAGATACAAATTTTATTTTAAGACTTTAAAATTGAAAACCTTGCCTAGTTTAGTAATATTATGTTTAAAAAAATGGAATCTTTAAATTGTTCATATAAGACAACTGTTTAAAGTACAAACATTTTTCTTAATTTAATTCTTATATTTTGGCACAAGTGTAATCAATCTAACTCATTAAATTGTTTTAGAAAAATAATTATTTTTATTGAATAAAATTAACTTAAACAACTTGTAAAAAAGAAATTTCTAAGTATGGTAAAATCAATATCAAAAATTTCAGTATTGCATAATCAACGGTTCACTATATTTTGTATATAGTGAAATTGGTATATTATGTCAAATTAGCCATTATTTGCAATCTTTAACTAATCCATATTCTTTATGATGTGATCATTTTTGATTGTCTAATGACATTTAAAAATTATGCTCTAGTTGATTAGTTATATTACTTCATTTTACACTATAATTTCTTTAACTTAACCAAATTATGTTAGTAAAAGATTCTAGTTATTTAAATGAAATAAATGTTAATATTAGGGTTATATTAACAAAATAAATTGTTTTTTTTTTTTATAATAATTAAATATTTTATTATGAGTTTACAATAAAATACTTAATCAAGGTATCAACTACAACTTAAGAAGAATAAAACCTGAAGTTATTAATAGCTATAATTTTTATATTATATTATAAATCTTCTTTAATCTTAAATGAAAATTTAATAAGGGAAAGGAGGAACTAGTTTGTTTGCTGAAAACAATTCCTGTTACGATTTTGGTAACTTAATGTTATTAATGCTAACTGTAGAGTTACTTTCAGAGCTCTGGCAAAGCCACTGTCTTTGCCAGAGCTCAAATATTTAATTTATTTTATTTACAGTTATTTTTATATTACTATAATAGTCTTAATTTTCAGGTAGAAAAGATTATTACTATTATGCAAAATCCTCGTCAATACAAAATTCCTGACTGGTTTTTGAACAGACAAAAAGATATTGTTGATGGCAAATACTCTCAAGTAATACTCTATAATAATTTTTCTTTGCTGTATTGATAAAATGGTGTTTATTTCTATGACAACATTTATGTAATTGTAATAAAATTTAATAACTAAGTCTATGGGAACCATGTTTTTAATTGATAATTACTTAAAGGATAATTCAGAATATTTCAACATGACAAGATAAATCATGCAAATATTTAAAAATTAAGATAATTTTATCTTAAATGTATTAATTTTGATTATATAGAGTCATTGAATTACTGTTGACTAGATTTTTTTTTAAATTATAAGTTATGAACATTTTTCATATGTAGAATTTAATTCTCAAATTATTAGTGATTAAATATTGTTAATGTCTATCCCTTATATTTATTTAAGGATACTAATATTTTTTAAATTATAACACATATTTTAATAGATTGAATTTCGAAAAATTACCTTACTTAGAAAATGATTGGAAGTTAAAAAAATTTTTGATCCAGTTTTTCAGAAGTTTAAAAAAAAATTCATAACCCATTCCTGGCCTCTAATCTAAATTTAAAAATGTTTTTATTTTATAAAATACTGGTTCAAGTTGTATTATCCACTTGTTATTTTTTATTATATAAATTAATAAATATGGATGTTAAACATCAATTTAAAACAATTGAACTGAGAAAATATAAATATATATTATAAATTGAGAAATAATTAATACTAAACAGAACCCCAAAAATATATTTTCAAAATTACTAATTCAGGAGAAACTTTGTGGTCAACAATAAGTTAATCACACTGTACTTAACATGTAATTTAACTTGTATTTTTCTTATAATTTTTGAAAATTCTCTGTAATACATTTTTTAATTTAGACAGGTAGAGGGGTAGATAAAATGTTAACCTAAGTCTTGAGATCGAGGATGAATTTTTTTTATTGATAGAAAAATCATGGAATAGATTTTAATTTTTCAACTTGTAGCAACCCTGAAGTTGTATTTTGTAATTTTTGTAAATTAACAATGTTTAAAAGAATATGCACAACTCAGAAGAAAGTCAAAAAGTGACTTGTGCCCCTTTTCTTAATCATTGTCAAAATGTTCCAATTTCTTTTACTGTATTACTATTTATATAATATTATATTTATTTTTGTAATAACACAGTAAAATTCTTATTAATTATTGAAACAGATTTTTTAATTTAAACATTAGTACCAAATATTAAATAATTATAATCTAAAAAAATGTTTAAAATTCTAAACTACTTAGTTTTTAATTATTTTCACTAATTTATAATATTTATTTAGCTCACATCCAGTTCACTTGACAGCAAATTGCGTGAAGATTTAGAACGGTTGAAGAAAATCAAGGCTCATAGAGGTTTACGTCATTATTGGGGGTAAGTTCCATTGTTTTTCTATTTTTTTATGTTCAAAAATACTTTAATAATTTTGTTATTGTAACATGTTTTAATTATATTACTTACAATTGGGCCTCTACATTAATAGTGTCTATTATTTTTTGATTAAGTTAATTCTGATTAATCTGAGAAATAACAATATTGAAGTAAAAAAAAATTTTTAACTGAATTTAATATAGAAATGCCAACTATTTATAAAGAAAAATTTTATGAGATTTAAGTCATTCCATTTTTATATTAATTTTTTATTATTTTGCTCACCTATTATGAATTTTATTCATTCTTTTGATTTTAACTTAAATAAAATGCATTTATGCTACATGTTATTAGCCTTATTGAAAATGCACAAAATTATTTTGTACTTTTTAGCTAACATTTCTGGCTACTTATTTAATTTTGTGCCAAAATAATATCTTCATTAGGATAATATAAATGGTAATAATTCATTTTATATTCTATCGGTGAAGATACAAAATATTATTATTAACTTAAAATATGTATATATTTTTTGATATTTCATTGCATAATCAACGGTTCACTATGTTTCATATGTTGTGAAATTGGTAAATTATGCTAAATTATTTGTATATAGATGTTTCAATTAGAACTTATAATACATTTATTTAAGTTCATAAAGTCTACTACAATACATTTTATTTTTAATCGATATTCTATTCATTTATACAACTCAAAATTGATCACAATGCAAATAATTATAAATTAAATAAAGTCTGTGATATTCTATCTAAATTAATTTGTCTTGAACAAAACTAACATAATTTTTTTTTTTTAGTTATAATTATACAATATTTAATAGATATATTGAATTATCTCAAAAAATAATTAGATTTAAAACTAATTTCTTTTTCTTTTATTGTTACTTTTAGTTTGAGAGTACGTGGTCAACATACCAAAACTACTGGACGCAGAGGTAGAACTGTTGGTGTATCTAAGAAGAAATAAGTTAATAAATTAATTATTTTTACTGAATTTTTTTTTTGTTTTTTGTCTTCCTTTTCCTAAGTTAAAAAATTAATTTAATTTAACATGCCACGCTTGGTTTATAAGATGATATTCATTTAAAAGAAGAATGAATCTTGTGGTACTCATTAATATTTTTACTAATGAAATAAATTCCATAAATAATGGCATGACCTTTCAGCAAACTTACTATTTAAATTTTAAGCTTGATTAATATAAAAACTGGCATAGTTAGGACAAGTATAGATGATATCAGACATTGATTAAAATCACTATCATATAAAATTCTCTGATGCAGATCTGTAGATAGTGTTTAATTTTAAGAAATTGGTAGGTTATTTCAAAAGCAAAATTAACTTCTATTTCCTTCATTGTTTCTAATTAGTAGTTCTATGATTTATAAGTGTTATAAATGATTAAATATCTATTATAGTATTAAATATAGTATGAAAATTGTATTTAATAATTTAGTTGAGTAATTTTAACGGAGAAATTATAAAGTGGTTACTCTAATGGTAAACGTGTATAAAAATTAAAGGGCTTGATACTAGTATTGTTAAAATTGATATTAAATTTATGTAGTATTGTAATATTTATAATCTAAACATAATAATAGAATGAAAAATGACCTGAATAAATGATCATTAAATGAAGTTTTACCAGCGGTTTGTAAAATGTTAATGAAGAAAAATAATTTTATTATTTATATTGTGTAAATTATTTTTAAAAGATAAGTGAATTTCCTCTTGTCATTTAAAATGTTGAATAACAAGTATATTTTGATAATCAGTGTAAGGTAATTTAATAAGTTTACATTTATAAGTAAAACTATTTTATACTTTCTCAATATGATTACAATGATTTAAAGTTCTAGTTTCTTAAATAAATTGTTGTGGAATTAGGATAGATCGTAGACATTTACGTATATATAGTTGGATTTTGTAACAATTACGTTTAATAACAATAAAACGTTTTTTTATATTTTTAATGAAAGTTAAACAGAAGCTTAGAATCGAACGTATCGGCAAGATCTTTAATATAAATTTGATTTATTGTATGATTAAATATTTTGTAATTAAATATAATTTAGTTAAATTTTTTAAAAAAATTGATAGATTTTATGATTAATCTGTGTTAAGATCTAGATTATTAAAGATACACCAGTTTAATATATTATTTAGATCTTTTTGTAATAATTCTAAGTCTTTCTGATTGTTAATTAATATTCTTGCATTATCTGCAAATAATAAAATATTATTAGAACATTTTATGATGATACAATATGATATATTAATAAATTAAAAATAAGTAAAGATAGGTGATTATCTAGTATGATCTCTGTAATTACATAAATAGGGTTAGAAATAAAATTTTAATGTTTTACAAATTGAATTCAGTCACTTTTTAAGTTTAAAAACTGCATATTTTGCAATAACATGACTTAACATATTTTTATGTAGTTATAGTGAGTTATATAAAAAAAAGTATTTTAAATGTTACTTTAAATTAGAGTTAAGAAATATAGACGAGGGTAATAAATATTAAGTGACTGAATACATGTAGAAATTGCATAAAAAGTAAATATCTTGATAAATAAATAAATGTTTCATAAAAATAGCAAATATTCTTATATTCTATATATTTCTTATAATAAGTTGAGCTATATTTTTATTTAGTCGAGTAATTTCCGGGTCATTAAATGTAATGAATGAAACATAAAAAAAAATTAAATTTTAGTCGTGAAAAAAAATTTTTATTTAATAAGAAAAATATTTTTTCCTCTTTAACTTTTGATAAATTGCAAAAATTTGATATCACTGTGTTAATATTAATCACAGATAATCAATTCTTTTGTTATCAATTATCACTTGATTAAAAATGAAACGATTTTATGATTTGTACAATAACTTTACTGTGAAGTATTATTATTTTTAACGAATAAAATAATATGCCAAATGTCTACAAAATAGCAATACGGTTAAAAAAAATACATTTTTATGTTAAAATTGTAAATAAAAACTAAAAAATCTATAAGTTATTTATTCAATTTTTTTTTATACAAAACTAGTTTAGTGGTTTAATTATGGGAGACAATTTGCAAACGGCTCAAAAGTTTGCCCTTGTTTAGCATAATTTAAAATTATGCCCCCGGTTGATAAACAATCAAAGTAATCAATTGAACGATAACAACAACTGTTAACGTCCCCTATGTAGTATATGTATTAAATGGGCGTAAAAGTATCATATTTAATTAATGATACTTCTACTCCCATTTATAATGCACAGGTATACAGTAAATAATAATTATTTACTGTGAAAAATAAATTTCTCAAAAGCCAGCTGAGTTCACTAAATATTATTACGAAATTTTATAAAACGTTCAATATCTATCAACACTATATAGTAAATTTTCTATAAACTAAATACAGTTATTTTTATTTTCAATATTTTTTATGGTTAAACAGTAATTGAAATGTACCTAAGTAATATTATATCTCTTATTTTTTTAATTTTATTTAATATCTTATTAAAAAATGCAATCGCACACTTGAACGAGGTAATGTCTGTCAATTTGTAAAGCAAATGTACATATTCATTATATAAATATAAACGTTATAAAAATAATGTTACATTTAATAACTCAAACTATTCCTAAAAAACTCAAAACTTAATATAGTTTTATAATAGTTAAAACTTTTATTTTTTCTAAATATTTTCAATAAAAATTATTAAATTATTCAATAAGAAATTATATATTTTTAATTAATTTAGCAAAATAATTTTCAATATCATAAATTACGTTTAAAGGCCAAAGTAAAAATTATTGTATTTGAGAAAACTTAATGAAATATATTTGTTTTTTTATAGTGAAGAAAGTTTTTGTGGTATATTTTTAATAAATGTTAAGAGAAACTCAAAACTGTTCAAACGGGGTTTATATTTTTAAATAAATTATCAATTCTTCCCAATTATTTTTTAATGTTAAAATTTATAACAAGCTAACGATTAACCCTTTATATTGCCTTTATAGAAACTATAATATAGTTAAATTAAAATATAAGTTATACGTGAAATTTTTATACTGTTGTTATTATTATGATCTCATATATTATTTCATAAAAAAATGTATTTATTTACATAAGCACAATTTATTTTGTACAATGTGTTATAATTTTTTTAATATGCAGCATACTGAAAGAGCGATAAATATAATGAAAAAAGGATCTGTTGGTGCAAATTTAGTTAAAGAAATCCAAGAAGTATTAAACAAATTAGGTTTTGAAAACGATTTACTTGAAGTAGGAAAAATCCTATTGATGTTTGACCTCGCAAGTAAAGTTGAAATTATTTTTACCGTGTACACTGTTCAGGACTTTTCACAGGGAGATAGACATAAATACATTTTTTACTACCGATTTCAAAATCCTATCTCAAACAAGGAATTATTTTTATCAAAGAAGTTTTCCATCCTATCATTTCTCCGTGCAACCTCCTCTTGTGTAACATTGGATACCTTTAAGGTATGTGGTGTCCAAGCAGCGGCTCGTGGCGGTTACTAATCACGTTAACTGTACAGATTAGTCTCCAGTGCGCGAATGCAGCTAGGCGACTGTGCAAAAGATGTCTATAGTTATAGTGCACGCCGACATATAATTCATGCAGTGTTGGATGACCTCCACGACGGACTGTGCTTTGGACACTGTTCCAAAGTTAAAATTTCGTATCAGGAATTTATGAAACTGTGCAACAGTTTTCATTATCAATTTTTACATCGGTATTTTCGAGAAGAATATCATAATAAAAATATTAAAATTTAGTACCAGGGATTTATAAGAACTAATGCATTAAAGTATTTCGAGATGTTTTCCAACTTATCGCTAGCGATTTTCAAGCGGCTGACAATATTATTTTAAATTAAAGAATTCAATAGTGATTCTCATGAATCCCTGATACTAAAATTTTTATTTTTATATGAGACTCTGTACTATCAATACGATACACACAATTAATTTATAAGTAAAACTCATTAAAACACGGTTTTAAAATTAATAATTTACAGTTTAAATGTTAATATAAATTTATCATTGTTATTATTATTTACCGTTTTGGAGAAATTTCGATGGTTTACTCGGTATTTATTAATGGGAGAGGTGAGTAAATATAATGAGAAAATTGACTACCTCCTTCAATTTATATCTTAAATTTGTCATTATATTCATCATTATCATCCCTTACCTTTCATTATTCCACGGCAGGGGTAAATTATATTTTTTACGGTCCATTAACTGCTAAGTTCGGATCAGGACAATTTATTAATAATAATTATTGCTAATATAGATTATTTTTTATTTATTAAAAAAAATCATTTAAAAAAATATTTTCACTAGAAGTTTTTCAAACATTTAATATTACAATAACTGTCATAACAGTTATTGTAATACTAAAATTATTTTTATGCGGTTATTAAATGTTTGAAAAATGTCTAGTAAAAATATTTTGCGAGCTTATTATTTAATAAACAGCAATTAATAGATGTATAATATCATATCATCACTTAATTTGATTTATTAAAATCTAGTCGTTATAATAGTATTTTTATATTTTTACTTTCAAGAACAAGATCATTCAAATGTTCAAAGATTTATGCGAATATTAAAAAAATATGGATATGAAGATTTATTACACAAGCAAGTAAACGTTGTAAGTTTTATATATTTTAAAAAATGTCTACAAAATTAAATTTAAATACAGGTATTTTGTTTTTATGAATATCACAATAATCTTTGTTTTATATTAGTTATCTGTAATTGAGTTATTTACATGTTTTTATTTATTTTGATGTATTTACTTATCGGGTATACAAAGATAAACTTACATGATGATTTTGGTGATAAATAATTAATAATTATTTTGAAATTTTGTTTATGGTTTTAGAATAAAAACGATACTTCTAAAGAGGTTTGTTTGATGAATACTACAGACTAATTAAATTTAAGCTCTGAAATATATTTTGTTATAGGATGAACAGTACATTAAAAAAACATACTCGGTCATAGACAATGATAGTAATGGTTTGATACTTATTTGGAATATAAAAAAAAAACTTAATCGTTTAGGATATGACAATTCGATAATTGAAATAGGACATATCCTGACAAAGTTTGAATCTGAAGGTAAATTTATCAGTCATTTGCAATTGAGGAGAATGTGTGTTGTTCAAATGGATAAAATCTAAAAATTATTACTAAATTTTTATTATAATATTTTTATTTACCTAATTCTTCAACTTAACAGGAGTACATTATTCGAGCATTGAAGTTTTTTTGAATAATTTAGAGAAAAAAGGCTATTACAAACAATTAAAACTAAAAGTAATTCTTAATAAATAATATTTGATTTATTTCAAATTGTTCTTTGTAATTTTAAATATAAGTATAAATTTATATTCACGAGTTATAGCCCAAGATAAAAAACAATATTGCGTCTTACAAGTACACGCGGATGAAGTAAAACTTCTTTCGTTCTGAAGATATCACGTGAAAATCTATTGTGTTTTTTTTTAATTTTTTTTATGCACAATCAAAATGATTTGAATTTAATTACTTGAAATTAATGAAATTAATTAAATTACTTAATGAGTTTTAAATAAATTTACTTTAATATTCGGAAATACAGTGCTAAATTATAATATAAAATATACTTTTAAGCCGACTGTGATGCTCGATCATTTTATTTTTCGAACCCTCTGTAAAGAAGTTTCACTTCAAAAAAATCAATTAAGAAATAATTATAATACTTAGTATTTTAAATTTAAAGAACAATATAGAAAAGGCAAAGTACAGTAGGCATCCACCAAAGTGGAGTTGAGAAATGTTTTAAATTAGAATTGATTGGTATTTGTCAGTATTGAAAATCACTATAGTAAAACATTTCCTAGCGTATTTAATAGGTACGAAAAACAATTATTTATCTGTTTTCGTACCTATTATAAATGTTTTAGGTCAGAAAAGGTCAGTTATTTTAGTCCATCAATATCAGATAAATAATCTTTAAAATAGTTTATAAAAACTATCGTATTATATTTTAGAAACTGGTTATGATACCAAATTCATAATATGAAATCATTTCAAATTTTACTCTCAATTTTATAAAAAACATTGATATTCCGATGCAAAACATTTCAAAATTGACTATTTTTAAAGAAATTGTATGATTTTTAGCTTTGATACCTAATAACTTTTAGATAGTATTTCTTTTTTCATCTTAAAGTACATTACATTAGCTATATTTATATATATTAGATTTCAAGAAAATGGTTTGGTCATGTTATGAGGAGAGAAGAATCGGAAGTTGTAAGAACAGTTATAGAAATGAATGTTGAAGGAAGAAGAGATAGAGGAAGACCAAAAAAGAGATGGAGAGATGCTATTGAATGCGATTTGAGGACAGCTGATGTGAGCGTAGAAGATGTGGGAGATCGTGTCAAGTGGAANTGAATGCGATATGAGGACAGCTGATGTGGGAGATCGTGTCAAGTGGATGTGTTAGGATAAGGGTGGCCGACCACAAGTAGTTGGGATTAAGGCGAGGAAGAATAAGAAGATAAGAAGATTTCAAGAAATTAGGATTTTTGGAATATTTTTAAAGTTAATAGAATAAATTTCGGTATGACAATTAGACCCAAAGTATCTGCGCTAATAATTAAATTTTCAAAAAGTATATCGTCGGCGAGATAAATTTACTTTAAATAAAAATTTAGCAATCATTTTACCAGTTTTCGAAAATTTATTTCAATAAAAGCTTTAATGAATTAGTAATTTTACATCAAGTTAGAACTTGATTAATGTATTCAATTAATTTTATCTTAATGAAATAAAAACGGAGCTTAATACTTTATACTAATAGGTAATTTTTTGAAAATTTTACATTAAATAGTAATAACATTGATTTTTTTAAATATTTATAATAGAATATGTAACTTTTCTTAAAATAAACGTAAAGTTATTTAAGTTTTAAATGTTTTTGAATTTTCGATGTATTAAAAATGGTTTTTTTATATTTTAAGTTTAAATTAGTGATATAATGAAGTTAACAGCCAGTAATGCCTGTAGTAATAATATTTTATTGCAAATACTCTATATAAGCAATAAAATATTTTTTTTAATAAAAATATTTTTTAATCTTGACTAACCGATTTGTAAGGGAATACACTGTAATGTATTCACTTGAAAAGTAATTCAGAGAAATATCAGCATTTACATACAAGTTTGTTATGATAATAAATTAGTTTACATAGATTTAAAGTTTTTAATTTTTCAATATTATGATACACTTAAACTACTTTTTATTATTTACATTTTTTATTGTTTGCAATAATTTAATTAAAAATGTCGCTGAAAATTCTAAAGAGGTAAACGTTTTTACATACAAATATAAATAATGTAAAATCAATATAAACAATTGTTTTGTTAACACGTTTAAGAATAAAACCTTATTTTTATTTTTGGCGACAAAAATTAAACTAAGTAATTAATGAGTTAATTTATACTCATTTTTGGTCATCTATATTTATTAGAATGAACAAGATAACAAACTTATAAAGAGAGCACATGATATGATCGAAAAAGAAGGTGATGGACTGAGTATTGTTTGGGAAATTCAGAACAAATTAGAAGAATTAGGCTTCAAAAACTCATTACTTGAAGTGGGAAAAATCCTATTAATGTTTGACTGCGAGGGTACTAATACTCAAATTATTTTGACTAATCATTAATCAGTTATAATTATTACAGGGAAAATTATTTTATATGTTTAAATGAATAACCTTTTAATTATATATATTTTTAGGATATCGTTTTTCGAATATTCAAGAATTTTTAAAAATGATGGAAAAAGACCTTTTTTACGATTTTTTATACGTTCAAGTAAAAATTTTAATTGTTTAAACTTTACTCATTTACATAAAATATTTTTTTTTATTATAAGAGGTCGTTAAAAATTGCCCTACTCATTTAATTCCAAAATAATTTGTCGCAGAAAGATTAATAAAATGTATGTTTGATAAATCAAATCATAATTTATATAAAAAAAAAAATCAACAAATTAAATTAAATGTTGACATACATTAAAAATTTTAATCTCGAGATTCAGACAATTTTAAAATGGTTTATATATTGTATAATCTCACAAATATTTTAAATTTATTATTTTTTCTATTACAATGTTTTAAATTGTTCTAAAGTTTATTTTATAATTTCGAAATAAATACATTATAAATGTTAAGGTTCTTATTAAAAAAATTTCTAAATTATAAAATGCATTTCAATTACAAATTAAAAAAAATTACATTAATAATACTAGTTATAAATTTATTATTCAACAAAATTTTAAAAACCTATTTAATTTATAAAAACATATTTTTAGAATAAAAATGAATCTTCAGATGAGGTTTGTACTTTTCGTAACAAAGTTTTAATAACCAATGTTTAACTTTTGTAATGAAATTATGTTATTTTATTAGACTAAAAAATATATCGATAGGGTGTTTCATACAATTGAAAACGATGATGAAGGATTGGTGTCAGTGTGGGATATACAATCGAGATTAAATAATATGGGCTATAAGCATTCATTAGTAGATGTAGGAAAAATTCTGATGAAGTATGACGCAGAAAGTAATTAGACCTTAACTATTAATAAAATGTTATTTGACATTTCAAGTTCATTAAATTTTGTTACAGAATTTCGTTACTCAAATTTCAGTCAATTTCTGAGTATTATGGAGAATACGGGGTTTTTTAATTTGTTGAATAGAAACGTAACGTTTTTAGAAAATTCTTGAATATGTAATAATTGTAAATTTATCATTGAATATTGTTCACAATAACTATAAAAACATAAAATTTGTATGTGTATTTTTGTTTTCTATGTCAGAGAACACTGTATTTTCTCGCGTTACTATTAACATTTGCAAAATAATTGTACATAACAACCAGTATAATATCAGCTTATACATGTATTTTATAATTAATTAATTAAAGATAACAAAATAATTTTTTGGTATTATAAAAAAAAAAACATGTTTATATTGTACATTGTAATATGTATACATTTATTTAATATTTTTCTTCATTATAAAAATTAAATGTTTTCAATAGTCTTTGAGAAAATGAACGTCTTAATTAAACTTGGGTATATAAGTTGACACTTGCATCAAAGTCAAGATAAATTCGAAATATGTCTAAAGTAAATGTTACATTAATTTTTTATTTACCATAAAAATTGGTACCATACCAATTATATTGGACCATACCTCCAATATAATTCTTCTTGGCCGTTTAAGCCGTTCCGGGAGAAATAATCTAGTAACATATTTTTTTCTTCCTTCTTTAATAAACGGTGGAAGAGTTTATATCGCAGAAATATATCTTCTTTAACTGAATAGTCATTTTTTTTTAGGCGATCGCGAATTGCCTTGAGTGTTGCAGAAGGGTATTCGCCTTTTTTTAAATCTTTAAATTTTTGTATAAGTTCTTCATCGGGATTTTCTCCGGGCATAAGATAATTGTACATTAAGAGCAACTCTTCATCAGAAATACCATTTTGGATCCGTTGATTTAAATTTTTTAAATGAACTTCATAAAACAACCTATTCAGTTCTATGATAGGACCTTTTTTTTTTTCAACTGAAATACATTTATAAAAATTGTTATTTAAGAATATATATATATATATATTATTATTGATATATTTAACATTGGCTGCTTGGCCATTAGTTTTAGTAAATATATACATTAAAAATATTTATATGATTATAAAAGTGATTATTTTGTTAATTACTTTGTCGAATGGCATGTCGTATTTTGCTCAATTCGTGATTAGATATTACTGTTCCTTTAATTACTTCCAGTCGTTGTTTAAGGAAGTTTTCAGAATTCGAATTATACGGAATTAATGAATGAAGTTGCAACAAAATTTTTTTTAAATGTGGAAGAGGATAACAGCCAAAAAAATTACGATCATTTGAATGTGCTTCAATTGGAACTGCAATAATACGATTTTACAAACGCTTCAAAATCTTTAAATAATATTTATTGTTCATTTTCAATTTTATTTTCATTACACCGTTGTAAATATGTACGCGACATGTAATGAGTATAAACTCAATATGTTTAATGTATTCTTATTAATCCTTAGCTTAATTGTCTTACAGTATAGAAGTTAGCTTATTTCTATACCTGCACTACTAATACAGCTTAAGTTTGAAATTTAAGCTTAAATTGTGTTCATAGTAACACTATGAATACAATTCAATTTATTTTGTTTAATTTTAATTCTCAAATTAAAACAATAAGACAAACTTTTGAGAAAAACCCAATGTTCTACTTAAACACTTACTAAAGTTATTCATTTTGTAAATATTTTGCCTACCAATAATACAACTTATTGTAAGAACATGTACTGTGTCTACAAGAAATTAATGTCACAGTGGCTGGTTCATTGTGACATATTGAACAACTTGCTAAATAAAAATCATACATGAAAATGTAAATATAACTATAGGCACAACTAATATAAAATTCTTTGTGGTCTTAAATATTTCCTAAAAATAATTTTATATAACAATATGTATAATTTTCTAAATGGTTGTAAAGAGCTTAGTTCTCTCTAGCTCCCTCTATTAACCCCTATGAAGTTGATCTCAACTATTTAAATATAATTAATAAATAATAAAATCTCTATTATAATTTCTAACATAATAATAAAAACTATTTTGTTTTATAGACTTACCATTTTGCAGATCATGTAGGGGTTTCCCAAAAACTAATAAAATAAATTAATAGATCTATTTTCCTTTTCAAATATTTTAAACAATTTTTATGTAATTATTATAAAACAATATAAATTTATATTTTTGAATGTTATTACCTTTTGAATAAAATAAAAATACTGTCATTAAAGCAAACATTGAAGAAAGTTTATGGATCTACAACAGAATTTTATTGATTTATCATAATTTTAAATAATATTTATAGTACAATTCTATATTCAATTTCAATATGTATATATAGTATTAATTACAGTTCAAAACAAATAAACAAGTTTTGAGTTAATAAATTCTAAATATTGGTTTTTTTTAATATTTATACGTAATATTAAAAAATAATTTTGTTTTTGTTGCAAAAATGTATTGGTTTAAGTAAATGGAAGAAGACTAAGGAATTAATATTGTAAAAAAATTGTTTTTAAAATAATAAATCTTATAACAATCAAATCATATAAAAAAACATTAGTATATTTTACATTGTTGAAAATTAAACTAATTGGTTTTATACATTGCAATTTTAAAATTAAATAAAATTTATTATGTATACCATCGTAATTGTAATAGACATTGAAATAATAACAATTTGCAGAAATGATTTAGAATAAATATAAAAAAATTGAACAAAGTTTTTTTAAATTCTGGTAAAATCTGTTTTATTTATTTAAGTTTTCCAATTAGATATACGAGATATTTTTAAGGAGTATGCTCTCGAAATTTAAATATAAAAACCTTATATCTGATTTACTAGTACTAGATTAATTTATTTTATTTTACCTAAGTAACGAAAGCTTTAAATCCAATCAATTGTATACTTTTTAATTATTCTAAGTGTTATTTATTTTCTTAAGGTTTTTATTATGATCAAATTAATTAACGTTTTCTGAGTACTCGAGTTACTTTCGTATAAAATAAATCTTACAGGGAGTTGTATGTTAAAATTTTTACGAAATAATGTAAAATAACTAATATAAAGTCAAAATTATAATTGTTATGGATTATTTCTTTATACTAGTAATTCTGAGACAAACATAATTTTGGGAGGTAAATATTTTTCATATTGCACCATATGGTTGACGTCATTTTTAAAACAGTTGTTCGATGTGTAACTTACAAATAAGAACAGTAATATCGATCAGTAATCGATATACATAACTACAGTATTGGTTGAATTAATCTATTAATTTGTTAAGAATATATGCTAAAATATAGGCCTATAATGTTTTATTTTAATTACAATGCCATCTCATAACCGTAACATAGTGTCAAATAACTCATAATATATCCATGAAAGAAAATTGAGTATGAGTTGTCTAAAATATAGTTAATTCTCTAATAAAATAAAATTAAAAAATGTCTATGAATGTTAAAATTACGTTTTGCAAAATTACGAATACAATGAAAGAATTTACAATTAGTTTTTATATTTCGTTAACATGTTAACAAATTATTTAGAAAAAAAATTAATTTTATATTGCCTATCTTTTGCCCCTCGAATGTAACTATAATTAAATATTTTTAATATTTTAATAAATAATTAACTATAAATATTTAAATATAGTTTTAAATATTTTAGATAAAATTGATTTGTTCTGCTTAACAAATTCTCGATTAATTTATAATATTTTCGTTTTTTTATACTTGATAATTTATATCATATATAAATTAAATGTTTTGCTTGGGAAAAAATGTTTATAATGTAAAACTTGGGAAGAATATTTTAAGGAGTCTGATATAAACAATCTCTACAATTTCTGTTTTTATAATATTACAATTGTAGTATTGCTTAAAATATCGAAATACAGTATAAAAAATTTATCATTTTACAAAGTCAATTTTTTATCCACTCAATTACAGAATAAAAATATTTATATATTTTTGATACCTTTAATTACATATTATTCTTGAACTTAGATTATTAGCTATATAATACTTTTTAAGTTCTTTTTTTATGCCTCGTGAGGATGTAAACTTTGTTTTTTCAAATGTTAAATTTAATAGAATGTTTGAAGTTTTATTTTAATAGTAAATGTCATTTGAATTTTTAACATAATTTTATTCATTTATTAGATATAAAACTTTAAAGATTCAAATTTTGTAGTTCATATACGTACATGTGTAATATACAAGGACTACTGGTAGCTAATTGTTTTTTTTTAAATATGGCAATCATAGATACGTAGCGTTTATTGTCATTTATGATTATTGACAGATATATTTTTGTATTGCCAGTTAGTGTATTTATATATGTTAACTTACAACAATGTGTCTAACGACTACACTTTAAGCATATCTGTTAATAAAGTCATAATTGACAATAAATGCTGAGTATCTGTGACATCATAAAAAAACAATTAGCTACCAGTAGTCCTCGTATATTATATATGTACATATATACTGTCTCCAAAAATTTAAAACTTTAGAGTTTTGTATTTACCAAACGAATAAAGTTATGTCAAAAATTCAATTGCCATTTACTATTAAAATAAAACCTCAAACATTTTATTAAATTCAAAATATGTGTATCAATGTGTGAAAATTATTTGATTTTAACAGCAGCATTTTGATTATTTATGATTCCTATAAATATATTTTGTGAATTATTCCATTATTACTTTTATGAGTAAATAATCATACTCGGAGATTAAACCTATGAGATTTTTAGGAACTGGTTTTAAAGAGTTTCTTAAAATAAATAATTAAGAGGTTCTTATTGCATTAATTATTTATTCTCTTGTAATAATCTACAGAATAATATTCCCGTTACCGATAAAATTTTCGCGAAAATATTCTTTCGGTACATAATATTTAATTGCTTATTACCTTTAAATGTAATCTGTAGTTACGCCATAAAACAGCTGATTAAATGTACTTATGATTACTACCAAGTACTATTGTAATAATAATAGGATTCATATTTTAGCACGGTAATGTGCGAATCATATGACTTACATAGTGTAAGTTATTTTATTAACTTTTTAAGAACCAGTTTTTGGTAGGATTCCAGTTTTTAAAGAGAATTTTTTAAATATATAATTTGAGGTACCGGTTAGATCCTTGGTTCTTTATTTTCTTCGTTAGAAATTATTTTGAACCGGATCTTAAAGGTTCTTTTTTAAAAGATTCCAACTATTGATCATACTTTGCCATTGCTTAAAAATATCACACGTTTTGCAGAACATTTAATCAATAATAATAATGTAATATTTTACATTGTGTGCAAACGTGAAAGTTAAACTGAATTGATTTTATGAGCTTATAAAACAAATATGATTTTAATAATTGAAATAATTTTGATTACATAATTTTTGGCTGCGAACCGTATAAGTTGGATGACAAGAAATATTTAGGACATTTCAAGCCGGCGGCAGGTCATGCTAAACTGAATCACACAACGTTAAGGTCGTGAAGGTGTCATATTAACATTTAAAACCAGTATACATGTATTAACAATAACTTAAGAATTCTTGCTGTAGCTGTTATAAAGCTTTACAGATTCACTGTTATTCAAATGCAATGCAGTGATATAATGGGGAAGAGAAATGTGTGCCAAACGCGTGCACGTTGGGGATCGATAGATATGAAATCGGTACACTGTAGTGAATACAGTCATAGATTACATTGGTAATTACTCCTACGAATATGTTCGATCCAAATAATAATTACAACTTGTCAGGTAATTTAGAACAGAATCCAATAAATATTGTTATTATCTAATAAGCTCGTGTACTCATTTCGAGAAAACATTAGTAATAATTTATTACACATTTCTAATGACTGTTCAATCAGAAGGTTCGGTCAAGTTCTAGCAATGCTAGTGAATAGTTAAACAAAAATAATTTCTAATTTTTTTAGAATAGTATTGATTAATATTTGCTTGTGATTAAAATCGCTGCCGTAAAGCGCTTCGATGTGTATTATGTGTAACAAATTTAAAAAACCAGCATAACGGTGGTGATACGGCATAGTTGGGAGAAGTATAGATGATATTTGACAGTGAAATCACTGCTATAATAAATGATTCTATGCGAACCTGTTAAATTTTATAGTTTGTATATTTGTAATCGCACAATTTCTATGATTTAAAATTTAATCCAACATTAAATAATTGTTGAACTATTTCCTTAATTGAAAATAAAATAAATTCTAGTAAGCGAAATTTTTTTGCTTTGACTGCCAATTTTTTACGGTAGAAAAACCGCGGGACAAATTTTTTTTAAAATTATTTATACGTTTCAAGAGCTTCAATTTGGATTAGATTAGAAAAACGCAGTTGTTCCTGAAATAATTTAGAATGATGTAAGCATTACGTTATTGGTCAAAACACTTGAAAATCGACCATTTTTAACGAAATTGTATGAGTTTTTATAAATAAGAAAAAATATGACATAGTAAAACCAATAGCTTCTCAGCCACACATCAAAGAAAGAAGTTAGTTATAAACTACTAAAAAATTT